TTTTTCGATACAATACCCAAATATTAAGTAATATTCTATTTTTACATAATGCCAACGGCAACGAATATTCGAAGAGAAAATCCGCAGCCTTGGCATTAAGCAAGGTCAGTGCTTGCCGCTAGTAGGTAATGAAGGAAATTACCGACGTGACTTGCGATCCTATAATGGCAAAGTATTTTTAGCTTTCCCTACTTTAGTAGATTCTTTAGGTAGTTACCGCCGACGTTAAACCGTCACAAGTAGTTAATATAGAGTGTAGGATAATACTTTCTTAGATTTACGCGAATATTTGACATTTTAAAATTAAAAAATATTGTAAGGTAATTGGTGAAATTTTCATTTTGTTATTTGTGGGTAGGCTGTCTGTAACAACTATACCTTCGAGACATCTAACACCTCAAGTCTCTCCCGTGACCATGAATGCTGTAAAGCATTCGAAACGTCGGGAAACAAAAATCCAAATAAATCCGCGACAAAATCCGAAAAGATAGTTTTATTTAGAGTGTAAAATGTTTTTTTTTAAATGAGCATTGTTAGGATTTATGTAAGAATGATATCTATTTAGGCATTTTACAGCTATAATAATATTAAAAAAATTATATAGTAAATACAGTAATGTACCTATTAATAACTCATTTTATTAACTATGTCTTCTCAGACTTTATAGGTATTCTTTTTGTCAGGTGCTATTAAAGTTTATTCAATGATAGACATATTTTCTTGTGTTTTGTTGAATTGCTTTAATATTGATGATTATTTTAATATTGATCAGTTACAGATCTATTAAAAATTGACAATGGTATTGTCAATTATAACATTTTAATTCAAGCTGCAAGCAACAACTTGACTTTGAAATTGGACTTTAATTATTTCATTTTTAAATTAACTCAATACCTAGTTACAATGTTGTTCTTTGCAGGAGTAATTAAAGGACACTCAAGAATTTTAATACAAAAAACCATTATTATTTCAAGAAATTGTTCAATAAATAAGTCACTTTGAATGTATACACCTGTCAACTCCGATACACGTGGATGACATTTATAATAGAGCGAATGCACGAGTGTGTTTGGATTTGCGAGTTAATAGAGCATTAAATTGCAATTTATGTTCGTTTTTTAATTTTTAATTCATTTTCATAGCATCGTAAAAAGTATTCTTAAGTAATAAATGTCACAATTTATTTTTAATACATAATATTTAAAATTCAGTCTATGCATTATTTTCGCGCGTTTTTCTTAATTGACATCACAGGTTTACGGAACAACAATAACATTGCTTTCTCATCAAACACCACAGATTCCATATAAATAGATGTTAATAATATATTTTCGCTCACATTTGTCATCTTTTAATTGTTTACAATATATTTTTTCAATATTATTATTTAAAAATTCTTTTTGGAAAAATATTTACAAAATATCTAAGACAGTGCCATTTGGTAACAACTATGCTGCAAGTTCATGTGCGAATTTAATTTTGAACGTAATTACCACTTTCTAATACGATGAAAGAAAACGTGAGGAAACCGGCATGTCTGAAATAACCTAACTAGTTTATGAAAGACATGAAATGACCCTCCATCCACTGGTCACAATGGCCTAGTTATTAGTGACTAGATCCTAGTTCCATCACAATGTAAGTCTCGTGCCCAGCTGTGGGAGTATAATAATAAATTATTATACTTTAGCTTTTGATTTTTGATATGATAAAATTTTATTTTGCAGATATTTTATGAAAATTAAAACACTTTTTAAGCTTTGCTAAATAACCTCCTTTTTTGAAGTCGGATAAAAACTAACCTTTAAATTAAAAATTTCGTTGACGAATTAAATGAGAAAATTTTTTTACAATATGATTTTGAAGTCTTGGGTGCTTGTTACTCTGTCATGCAAAAACAATAAAACGGATTTTCATGTAACTTTACAGGAATACTTTTACGTCAGAGTAACATATTGACTATAATTCTAATAAAAAATATTATAAAATGCTCGGCTATAATATTATAAAAAAATCGCGCATTTAATAAAAATATATTATTGAAGTTAGACTTCTTTTGGGACGTTTCGAAATAATTATAAGAGTTATATTTTTACGATGTGCGCGCCACCGACAGCCAAAAAGCGACATATTGAAGTTAGCTGATAACTGTTTGTTGCCACGGTAGCCGTTGTTATTGTCTGACAAATGATATATAATAATTAATATTATTATTATCTTTTCTCATATGATGAAACAGAGAGTTGTGACATACGGGATGACATCTTTAGCTATTTTTGTTCTGTTACGCCCAAGAAGTATAACTTCTTACGTGCGTACATAAGTACACACACACACATTTTTTTACAATCTAAAGGTACTAATATTATAAAGCTAAAGAGTTGTTGAGAAGTATGTTTACATATTTAAATATTAGAATTCGTACTAATCTCAGAAACTACCAGTCAGATTTTTAGAAGAAACATTTTTGCGGCTATTTAAAAAAATATAAAATGATTTTTATTTTATTACCTAGATTATAATTTTACGGTCAAAAGCCTAGTTCTTTCATATAAGTAAAAGTTCTAGACGAGACACTTTTAATCAGCGTTTTAACACATATTTTATGTTATTTGGGTGTGCATCCACATTAATATAAATGAAGAATTGTAAAGTCATACCTGGAGATTTAAATACAATGTAATATTTAAAATTATGTAGAAATAATTTTAGTTTAAATTTAATTCAACAAATCTAAATGTCAGGTTAAAGGACTAAGTTCGAAAATAAGTCCAGCTCTTGAATTTTGATTTATGAATAACTATTGTATCGGGTATTAATTAATATTTCAATTAATATTTCGATGCTAGTTTTTACACGCGGTTCCGCTCACGAGGTAGATATTTAATTGAAACATTGATAAAAAGAATATAATATAATCAAGCATATACCTACGCTACGTCCATTTTGAATTCCACTTTCTCACTGAAATTCACTTAACACACACAAGCATGCTCTAAGTACTTAGCACACTCTCTTATTTTTAAACTTTACCTTTTACAACAGCAGAGCACCCTCGCTTCGCTCGGGTTCGCATCTAGAAAATCTAAGACAGATCTATCCCACGGGAACCGTTCATTTTTCCGGGATGAAAAGTAACTTGTTGTTAGATCGGCAATATAAGGTATCAGCATGCCAAATTTTACTAAATTAGGTGCATAAGTTGTTGTGTACTAAGCTGTGTAAGTTATTATAGTTTTTAACTATCCCACGGGACTTTTTAATTTTCAGGGATGAAAAGTATTTAAGATGTTGCCCGGGGATTTAAGGTACCACCATGCAAAATTTCATTTAAATCGGTCCAATACATTCGGAGATTAGCCCGTACAAACAAACAGATAGAGAAACAAAAAATTAGAAAAAAATCTAGATTAGTTCTATTTGTCTTCTTACATCCCCCTGGCTAGGTTTTTAGCATTTTTTTCTATGTACAGACATTCAACCTCTACAGTTTTATTATAGTATAGAAGATTAGATTGTGGTGGCAGTGCTGCTCGTTTCGTGGCAGAATGTCGTGGGAACTTTTGGTATTTGAGCCGATGTCTATATTTCTCTACATTAGGTACCTACCCTTTATCACACCTACGCCCACGATAAGTTTATGTAACCTTTGTTATACTTTAAATATAAATCATGGGATTATATTATGTGCACTTATTATGACGACATTTGGCTCAGTTTGTAGTGACCTACTTGTTGTGCCAGCGGTCCCGGGTTCGAGTTCCGTTGGGGGCATTTATTTGTGAAATATACACGAATGTTTGTACTTCTTATTATTTATGTATTTATTTATATATTAAAGCACTAGTGCTAGATAACCATAAGATGCCTCAAGAGAGAGATTAATAGATACTTAAGCCTTAAAATAATCTTGAATAAGAAAACAAATTGATAAAATATATTTATTTTGATTTTATATCAAAGATATCTTAAAAGTTCACAAATATAAAATAAAAAGAGAAGTTCGCATTAGAAAGCTCAAAATTTGTGGTAATTAGCGAGAGGGCCTCGAAACGACCTTCCTCCTAGGGGTCCGACCTCTCTTAGGGGTCACCTTAGACCTTAACATATTGAGATCTGGAGGTTCCGTATAACATTTGAGACCAGATTTTCCTCTTTTTATTTTTAACGCTTTATTCCAATTAGGTAATTATTTATACAAATGTTTTTGACAAACATATACATACTAGATATGTATGTATAATTTTGCAGTTTATTTTCTCTTTCTACATTTTATCTATACAGACAATGTAGGTACTACATATACGGAATGGACTATTTTATTTCGATTAATTGATAAAATAGTGACAGTGTCCTTTATTGCATTTTTATTTTGTTCGATTCCCGGTTGAGGTAAGCTTTTTTTAAAAAAAATTTAAATGCAGTTTATTATTATTTAAAAAAATAGGTAATGCAATGTTTCTTTTGAGTAAATTTTAAGCACTTCAATATTTAAGGTACTGTTTTTCCATGTCCCATCGATTTGTTCCACCTGTATAGTATAAACTTTATACAGTATATATAATCAACAGTACAGACATACATATATTATTTTTATACAGACTACTTAACATACCTAAGTGTTAGGTCAGTAACTGAATAGTGACCTTTCATTATCCTAGGTATTACATCCGTTGTTTGTATACACTATACTTCTATCAATAAAGTTTAATTTGAAACAATTATATTTTAAGTGAATGACAAAACTAATAATATCGAATAATAATATTTATTATTTCTGTTTAGTACTGTCTGTAATATATGTCCTTTGAGACGTCTAAAACCTAAGTCTCTCCCGTGGCCATGATTGCTGTAAAGCATTCGAAACTTCAAGAGCCAAAATATATCAAAATTAATCTGGCAAAAAAATCCAAAAGATAGTTTTATTTCTAACATTAATAGTTCTCTAACCATTTACGGATTGGCGATTACTAATCTGGCATTTCACATAACATGTCCAGGCCCCGGGGAGAGCTATACGGACTACGTGGCTACGAGGTGGTACCGGGCGCCGGAACTGCTAGTTGGTGACACCATGTATAGTACACCGGTGGATGTTTGGGCTATTGGTACGTATCTACATTTTCTTCAGAGTTTATTATAAAAACTGACTGTAATTAATTATTATCATCTTAAATATCCTTTATAGGTTTATTGGTTTCTCATATTTTTGCAAATTTGACAATAGTAATAAGTGAAGTAAGTATTTACCAGTATGAAACGAAAAAACAAATTTGTGTTTGTTATTGTAATTCGGGCTAATCTCAGAAACTCTAGTCTAGGCTATATATTAAAAGTATATTTTCGAAAATAAGATACCGGTCTTATGATATTTTTATATTAAGTAGGCAAAATCTTCCTGAAAACTTACGCAATATTATAAAATATAAGGCGAACGGAATCTAGAGGCGCTAGTTTTTATAAGTACTGGCTATAATTATTTTCATGGCTCGTTAGCATCCGGCAATCCAGCCGGGCGTGAAGCCAAGAAACGCATTAGTAGGCGGCTCACATCGGTGGGTGGTTTACCATGAGGGTTGCTCCTGGTACTTTTCTGATAGCAAAGTGGACTGTGGAAGCAAACCTATGGTAATTGTGGTCTAATTCGGTAGACCTGCCGTCGGGGCATCGTGGTTGAGTGCGTAAGTGATCCTGCGACGCCCCATCAACATGGGAATGGTTCCGTTGGGTTTTAGTGCTTATGATATTGATTTTCCTAGCTGGTTAATTCCACATACCTACCTGTAGGTATACAGGCGCTTGTATACTAAATTTTTAAGCAAGTCCGTTCTACTTTTACAGCGTGAGCAAACGTATAACATTGAACATACATAAACTTTCGCATTTATTGTACCTATTAGTACGATTAGCATCCATACTAAGAATTGTTATTTCATGATAAGCCATATCAATTCCCAGGATGCGTGTTCGCGGAGTTGTTATCAAGCGAAGCGCTGTGGCCCGGAAAGAGTGACCTCGACCAGCTCTACCTCATCAGGAAGACCCTAGGAGACCTGCTGCCCAGGCATATGACGATTTTCTCACAGAATACTTTCTTCCAGGTATTCAATAGAAATGTTAGTCAGAACCTTATATTTTGAACATCTAATGATTTAATCACACTTAACTCGGGTTCGATCCTAGATGCCTATGAGTAGTCTAATTCAGGTCTTAGTTATCTGTGTACTAAACACGCAAATTCGTCTGGTCATTTCATCCTGACTAATTGAATACAATTTGCAGTTCAGTCACACATACACACGTCATAGATGTATGCTACCTAGGTGTAAATTTTTTAACTTTGCATACATTATTAATAAAAAAATATTTTCTTCATATCATTAGGGCATGGCGTTACCAGAGCCAACCACATTGGAACCCCTTGAAAAAAAGATACCGCAACGATACGCTCACAACGAATTAGTATTAGACTTTTTAAAGGTAAGAAATATAACTACCTATAAAAAAATATTTTGCTTTAAATAAATAACTAAAAAACTTACCATGTGTTTTTATCCAACTGCGCCCAAAGGAGGGTTATGTGTTTGTTGTATGTACATATGTCTTATTAAGTTCCCTCGTAATTACTAAACGGCTTAACCGATTTTGAAGATTTATACGTTGTTAGAAACGTCTTGACAATGCGAGTATTATAGTGCATATGAATATCATTAAAATAAAAATAAAAAACAATCCCAAAGAGGTTTGATGTTAGGCAGGCGGCCGGTCGTAAAACTTTTCCATAATGAATTAGCAGTACAGAAAATGTACTGCGCCGACCCCAAGTAATTTGGGAAAGAGATAAATTAGAGGATCTTAGGCTTATTTTTATTATTTTAAATGTAATTATATTTCATCTTATAAATAAGTATATATAGGTAAAGCTATATCTTATACACACAAATATTAATATCGGTCCTTCACGCCGAATATTTTTCAGAAATGCCTCGACAAAGACCCGATGATGCGGTGGACTTGTGAACAATTACTACGACACCCAATATTCGAAAATTTCTTATTTGCCGTGCCCCATTCCGATCATGAGGACTTTGAAAAAGCAAGAAGAACACAGGTAAAACAAAAAAATATATATAGTTATAATGATAATGTGTGAGCGGGTTACTTTTTTAATCTATATTGATGTCAGATATTCTACCTTATAATTTTATTTGCAAAACCCACACCAAAATTTTCCAGTGCTTAAATTAAATTGTAATTTAAGAATTCGTATTTAGATTGAAATTAAAAAATTGACTACATTGACCCTTGGCCGTTATGATCTTATCAAATATATGCAAACAATTTTACTCAATCAGCTATTATTACAGCTCCTTGTATCATAGGCGGTATTAGAAAGTATACGGAGAAATATATTATACTAAATAAATACGCCATTAAATATATAATGTTTCATAAAGAAAGTAACTTTGTTAAATGCTCAATTACTATTATTGCAACTACAGCAAAAATACCTAGAACAAGAAGCCCGTGACATGGAAAACATATCAAATGCCACGGACACCACCCTGTCAAAGAAGAGTAAAGGGAAATGACGTTTGATTGCTATCGCTATAAATAATTGCGCGAGGTGATTTGTAATTTGCTTTGCGATATTTAATTAGGAATTATGTGTTGATTTAATTCAAGACGAGATATTAGTATTTGTGTAGCTATTGTTATTTATATTGGTAAATGTTACAGTTGTTTAAAGTTTATTTAAATGGTCCTTTTAGCCGGATTTAATTATTTTATTTTTTTAATAAATAGATAAAAACGAAAAAAAATTAAAGCTCCGTCAGATAAAAAAATATCGATTAGAATAGTTTTATTGTTGTATTGTATATAGAAAATCTTAGGCCTTTTAGTTTTTTTTAGTGGACAAGAATTCGAGACTTAAAATTAATTTATTTTTTTGTCAACAGCAATTTAATACCATATAATATCTGATAACGCCGTAGCATTGCGGTCAGGCAACTATTTTGCATATGACTTTAATCTATCAAGGGTTGGAAAGGTCAACGTCTATTATACGTCTCAGCTTAGGCCGTAGTGCAAAGGTCATATTGCTATAAGTCCGCAAACATTAGTCATTGTGATTTATAAATCGGATGGATTTATGGAGTTTCCTTCTACTTTTAAATAAAAAAATGGAACTCGTTTTCATTTTTGAATCCTAGTTTTGCTCAAAATAATACGTTCTTTATTTAAAATATTGTAGGTTTATTTTTGTTTTTGAATTCAAGTTTCGTTTTCATTTTTGAATTCGAGTTTCGTTTTCATTTTTTATTAATTCAAATTTTGTTTCTATTTTTAAGTTCCAATCACATCTTCTAAAACAGTCGTAGGAATAGTATGTAGTAATAAAGTAGTAGGTCTTTTTATGCTTTACATACAGAGGTAAAATTATACGCAATTAATACAGAAGAAAATGGAATTATTTTATAAAGAAACTGCTTGCAACTTGCAGATACAATCTTCTCCAATGCTGCCACAGTTGATAGTGACGGAACGATCTCAACCAAAGAAGAAGTCCGAGCTGGACGCGCGCGGGCATCTCCCCACCATATGACTAGCGCCGCCCGCGAGACAGCGGATATAATATTAAACTATCAAATTTATTATTTTCTTTCATTTATAAAAATAGCCTAGTTCTATAGAAAATTAGAATCTTTCTTTGTCTTTGACATTTAGGAAGCAGTCCACATTTGTTAAAAATATATTAAGTCTGAAATGATGTATTGGCTAATATTAATAGTGACTTGTGTGTGGAGCCACATATTAATAATTGCAATAAAAATAATTTACGAAATAATCATTAATTAAGAAACAATTGCTATTGTCAATACCTATAATAATGTTAAATAGAAAACAAACGAATAGAAAAAATCATTATTGAATATTCCATATTTTTGTAAATATGCAGATAAAAAATAATTTTAATAGATAATAAAAATTGTTTTTTTTTTTTTATATATACAAATAGCTTCGCATGTGAATAATGAATAGCAAATTGAATTAAGTACGAATTAAATATTAATAAATGCTTTATTTGTATTACAACATATGTTGAACTTGTGCACTGCTTTATTTCTCATAGGTTTTTACATCGTAAGACAAAAGCGTTGCTGTTTAGTAATGTATAAAGATAACTATAATATTTTTGTAAGAGTTTCACAGAATAACAATTCAAAATATAATTAATAATAAAAATTAATTCTGGTTATACATGAGTAGAGCTACTATCCAAAGCAGCTTATTAAATGTTGTCACCATATTATATGTTGTTTTATTTCCTTCAAAATATTACTTAAGTAGCAACTCACCTCCACTTTGCTCGAGTGCCTATGTGTATATATAATAATGTATGAAATATATAGTTTTACAATAATGAATGGAAGTGTGTCCAATTTGTTGACATTTATGATTACTGCTCTGCTCCCTTGGGTAGAAGCATGATGATATATAGTCTATAGCCTTCCTCAATAAAAAGACTAATGCAAAATTTTTCAAATTGATTAGTTCCTGAGATTAGCGTGTTCAAATAAACAAGCTCTGCCCTTTTATAATATTAATATAAAAAATATTTTCAGAACTTTTTATTGAAGTAATTGTATTAATTTGATCATCGACATAAAAAAAATGTCAAGAACATTTTAACTATAGTAAGAAAGGAGAATCTTTCTGTTTTTATGGCACAAGTAAAAATTGTAAATATCATAAGGACAACTTAACAAATTTTGTAACTCTGCTTTAATATATCTATTTAATTTTTTTTAAGAGACTTAAAAATAATTCTCAATTTTAAATTCTAAACCTACCTTGGAGTGATAATTAACACAAATCACCAAATTTTTTGATTAAATATAATTAATACTATCAATATATTAAGTGTGAAATGAGAAAAAAAAACAATTTTAAGTCTACATTATTTAATTATACATAAAATATATTCATTAAACTCTAATTCATTACAACTTGTGTTATATAAATATGCTAATGCTTACTTTGTTTAGTTTCCATTATATTTTTTTATATTTACAATCTTTAATACACATTGTTTATTTATTTCCAGATCTGAAACAAAAAAGGTAATCTAAGGATATAATGATTAGTTAATATTTATAAAAATCGTAAAGGTAATTAATTAAGGTCACAAATAGCAAATTATTTTAAATATATTTTTCAGAGTTAATTTTAATATTGGGTGTCAAAATCCTCAGTGAACTATATTTACAAAAATCCAATAAGGTTATACTTTACAAGACATTTTTATTCTCAATATTTACGTAATATTTTCAATTAGGTGGCAAAAAGGTATTTTGTTATTATGAGACATTAAATCAATGTTGTATTAACATGAGATAAACATACCGCTGAAAAAGGATTTTTCTTACGTTCGTCAGGACTGACGAGACTGTCAATTTGTTGCAGCTTCATCCAACCATAATGACCGCCAATAATGAACGGAACCATAACTATAAGAGCAAGGTTCTTATTTATGAACCGGCGCACATTCATTATAAAAAGATTTTTTTTTGTATATTAATTTGTTATTATAGTTTCTCGGTTTGTTTCTTGTCTTGTCTAAGATTATGGATGTCTAAGATCGGTTTTAGTTTATACCGATTAAATTAAAAAGTGAATATACTCCTTTAAACCTTTTGAACTTTTTGATCTTCTTTATTTGGTCGCCTAATGTTTGATAATAAAACTGTCAAATATCAAAGCTGTCAATGTCATTTACCAACGTTTCGTTTCATACATATTTTATGTCTTTTTTGTTTTTACTTAATTTTTACTTAAAATATTGCATATTACATACGTTACTGAACAAGATAAGTAGTTTATTTAATGTACTCAAAAAGCACTAGTTTATGCAAAGCAGCTATAAAAACTCAATGAATTATAAGAAAAAATGGAATATTGAAACGTTCTATTAGTATGTTTTCATTGCTCCGTGTGTTTTCATTTTGTATCCTATCAAATAAGAGCCGTAGTGATATTTTAACCAATCAGAAACAGTTTCATTTGACATATAAATATGCAGTTGGCATTTACTATTTGCTAGGAGGAAAAACTTTCTTTAAAAACATGGTGGCATCTCAGTGAAAAGGGTGTTCATTTTCACTAGTCATAATAAAATTTAGGAAGCTTATTAAGCAGGAGTGTTTGATACAATTTGTGAGTAAATATTTATATCTTTAATTTATATGTATATGAAAAAAAATTAATACTATAATTAATCCCAGGTAAACACCGAACCAATAAGCTTCATACAAAATTAAGGATGACGTCTGAAGAAATCCAGATATCCGAAGAACTGAAGGGATGTTACGAGAATCTTATTGTAATTGACATTGGCGCAAACCTGACGAACAAGAAATACGGCCGTGATCTCGATTCGGTAGTGCAAAGGGCAAAAGATGCAGGTACGTGTATGAAAAATATTTTTATTCTGAAAGTATCGTGCAAGAATGTGATAGACGTAACCGCAGAATAAATTAGCAATATTTTATTTATGAAAAAATAAACCGACCGTACCAAATATTTGTAATTCAACTATCTGCTTTTGGTTGTTGCATGTATATTTGTCTTTCAAATTCCATTTCTATAACTTTCAAATAACAACAAAAAATGGAACAATAAGTAATATTTTGCAATATTTTAGTGGTCATTGACTACAACATTCACTGGAATGAAATTATGCAGTTGAATTTCAAGCTTAGGTTTATTATATTTGGCATAATATCTTACCTAACAGTTCAGATACCTATTAATTATATAATTTTCATTTATTTTATGAATATTAATGAACTATTTATGTGACATAGAAAAACTCATAATACACTTATGTATTATTAAAAATTAAAATACATTTGTAACTCTATATAATGAAACTTAAGGACTGAAGGATTGAACTTAAGGAGTGAACTTATAATTTACATTATATATAAAAAGTGTGAACATATTTTTTCAAATATATCAAGAAAATATTATTTTGACTTTATATTATACAATTTTGTAAAATACCTTAGAATTGTTTTGTCATGATAACTTTAAAATAATATCATTGTCCTAACTAATATATTAAGTCTATATGTTATCTTTATGTTACACATAAGTTTTCCTTTGTCATATTCATAACTGTTCATATGAGAATGAATCAATCACTCAATCACTGATGTGGTATATTTTTATGTATTATATATGCTATGTGATATTTTTCTAAATTATTTTAATTGCGTAAATTATGTTAATTTAAGCAATTAAAGTTTAAAATTTTAATTGCTAATTCAAAAGTTCAAAACTTAAATAATTAAACTGAATAATTTAAATTATGAATAAAAAAATAATTTATGCCTCCTTTTGTGGTAAGTTAATAAAATTTTATTGTCTTATGAATAATGACAGATCTTTCCCATTAAAATTAACAGTTATACACTAGATAATATATCTATCGATGTAAGAGTATTGGGTTAAATTCGAAGTATGTTAAATTCGAAGGGTATTGGGTAGTTAGGTAATCAAGCTATAGCAAATAAATGTATACATTTTGAATCATATGCTTTAGAGCTTTAACTATTATTGTACATTGTTTTACTAAACATTAAGTAAATGTAAATTATTTTTTTCTAATAATAATATAATATTTGTTAGGTGTCCAGAAAATTATGGTAACAGGCACATCAGTACGCAGTAGTAAGGAAGCACTGAGATTGACCCGATTGTATCCCAGCACAATCTATTCAACAGCAGGTAATAAATATATCTATATCTTAATCCCAAATATAAGCTATGTACAGTTCGAATTTCATTAAAATCTGTTGAGCATTTATATTAAAGTGAAATGAACACATACATATAACCCAAAAAATAATAACTATTTTTTCTTAAAATTTCATTTCATTCAGTTAAGTATTAATCGTTTACAATAACTTTTTTTAATGTAAGTATAGATATAAAGATATAAGATGTTCAAGGCTAGAATAACAGACCTGAATTCTACAGACCTTAAAACATGGTTTCTGTAAAAATATCTAAAAATTTGATGTTATTTTCTCGATTATGTAAATACTAGCATAACCCGCGGCTTCGCTTGCGCTAAAACTACAAAAAAAAACGCTAAAAAAGAAGGTTCCATACAAACTTTCATACCCCTTATGGGATGAATTTCGAGAAATGCTAAAACAGGTGTATATTAATTGTATTGAAGAGCATTTATACCAAGTTTCAAGTAATTCTTCAAGCATAAATACTTCTTTGAGTTGTATTGTAACGTGTTTTCCCGTGGGTACGAGATAATCTCCCGCGGTAAAAAGTAATGTCTATGTCACTCTCCAGCCCTCCAACTATCTCCACACAAAAAATTACGCCAATCTGTTTGGACGTCAAAGAAAGACAAACAAACACACTTTAACATTTATAATATTATAATGCCTCTAACTATCTCCACACAAAAAATCACGCCTATACGTCACTCCGTTTCGACGTGAAAGAAGGACAAACAAACAAACACATTTATAATATTAGTATGGATTAATATGATCTACCCTACGATGGGACATAGGGTTTATTATAATATGTATATACATAGGGATGTAGATGTTATTTGATTAACATGTGCAAAGTACAGGTTACATTAGTATTACATTTCGTTATATAGATAACAAAATCACTAGACAGGTCCTCTTTTATATTTATTGTGGATATTATGTCACTTTTTTATTAGACGTATTATATGTTCTTTTATTTGAATTCTGCTATTGTTCTCCTTAACCTGGTTTAGTTGTAGTTTAGGCGCTTAATTGTTATTGTGTCGCTGTAATTTGAATAAGATAATATTATCACTGTGTATGAAGAGTAAATTATATGGAATACCAGATACTGTCGGCTTCGCTCGTGTTTATATTTTTATTTAGACTAATACAGAGTATTATATTTATAAGGATATATTTTACTTTTTATAGATATATATTTGAAATATTCAGGCCAAATTATAGATGTGCAAAAAACATTAATTTATATTTATTGATCCCTTTTCGTGAAAGAAGGACCGATTTATACACTTTCACACATGAAATTAAAAAATTAGTAGGGATGTTATTGTATATCTAGCGATTTACTCCCTAGTTGCATTTTTTATCTATAACTAGCGGCTCACCCTTTGCTCGGGTTCGTCTTTAGGTACGTTTTAACGGTTAGTATGGAATGAATAGACTTCATACATTATATTACTTCTCCGCTCCCTTGGGTAGTACCATGATGATATATATAGGCTATAAGCCTTCTTCAATAAACGGACTATCTAATGCAATAAGAATTTTTCAAATCGGATTAGTAAGTCCTGAAATTAGCGCGTTCAAACAAACAAACTCTACCTCTTTATAATAGTATATAGATATGTATTTAATATTTATATTATATACAAGTAACACCACCTTTTGGCCTTATAAGCTATCTCCATAACGAATTTCAATTAGATTCGTGAAATCCTAAACGTGAACAATTCATAAATATTCATCAACATTCATAAACAAACTTTCTACAATTATAATAATAAAGTTTCTTTAAAATTGTGAGATGCTAAAATTAAGAGTGTATTAAAGGTGTTCACCCCCATGATGCGAAATCCATGACGGATGAAGAATCGTGGGCGGAACTTCAAGCCACGGCGTCAGCACCGGAGTGCGTTGCTGTAGGGGAGTGCGGTCTGAACTATACTAAAGATTTCTCAGAGCCACAGGTCCAGAGGGATGTTTTTAAACGGCAGGTGAGTTGTAACTTTGAGATTTCATACTTGATATGGAAAGAAAGGTACAATCTATATCAGCGGTTCCCAAATTGTGGTCTGTGGGATCCTAGGGTTCCGTGGAAGGGTCATTGGGGTTCCGAGCTCCGACCGATAGTTAAATAAAACGTTGTCAGACATGAAGACTAATGTTAGTGCTATTATAAATAAATATGTGAAAAAAGTTCATTCATCATTCATATGCCATTTTTGATTGATTTCAAAAAACAAGAAGGCATCTAACTCGATTTTGAAGTCGTTAATACCTATTTTTAGCTAACAGTTTTAAAAAAAAAATTATTACTTTTTTTTTGTAAGGCGTTTTAAAGATATGGTTTTTATAAAAAAAATAAACAGAATAGTATATCCCCTATTGTTGTCAACCGACTTCCTCAAAAAGGAGGAGGTTCTTGAGAACATATACGAATTGGTTCGGCTGTATGTTTTTTTTTTAAATTATATGAAAATATCAAAAAGAGACAAAAACTCACATTTTTTTAGATGGCACAAAAAGAAATTTGGCAGTATGGGTAACAGGCTTATCTTATATATTTTTAAGATGACACTATCATCGAAAACGAAGATGTCATGATATGATATCTAGATTTATCTCTGTCTAATATGTTAGAATAAAAAGAGATAGTGCATTTGTAGTACGTATCAGTGATGAATTGTTATAGTCGATGTTATCCTTATGTTCTTAACATAATCCTGTAATAGTAATCTTTAAATACTAACAAGTTGCAACCGTTATACTTAAGCTGTGAATGAGATTTCTAAGTATGTAATTATTTAGTTATATGTATTATACTAGCGGCACACCCTCGCTTTGCTCGGGTGCGTCGCTAGGTACGTTTTCAATAGATATAAATAATTATTAACGTTATTATTAGCGTTAGCAATATTATAATATATTTTTTCGTGCATTTTTCTGATGTTTTAGTAGTTATTCGAGGCGGAGATAAATCCAACAAATTTAAAACCATGAAAATTGGTCCAGCAGTTCTCGAGTTATTAGTGTTGTAACAAACCCGACTTTGTTTTATATAATATGTATATAGATTTTCTTAGGTTTTCGCGAATGTATGACTTTTTTTATTAAAAAAATCTTTTCTAATTTTTTTCGCGGATTTCTTTTGATTTTTGGTTGCCGAAGATTGAATGCTTCGCTTCAATCATGGTTAGAGACTCAATATTGAGTTATATTCTCCTTCTTATCATCATGCTATTATAATTTGAGGTTAGGAATAACACTGGTATAGGGGCAGTGGTTCTTAAACTTTGGGACAAAAAAGGTTTTATGTAGCCCACTAAATAAGTTAGAATTTAACACTCTAATGTCGTCGGTTTTCTTTTATTGAATGTGTTCACATATTTAGCAACGTCGAAAAATTAATATAAAGCACTTTGCGTCATATACCTACTTTATTGTGTGTTGTAAGTAAATAAATACGTTACTGCTGAGTTTCGCGATTTGCTTTAAAGCTAATATTTTTTTTTGCATTATATTGCATAATTTGTCTTAGTGTAAATATTTAGAAGGAGTCTTAGTATGGAAAATTTCTATTTGTCTTTTAAAATTGCAAGTTTTTTCCCAATTTTTTTTTTCATTTTAGTTGTCATGTTATACAAACATAGCAATAGTGTAGTTCTCTATACACTGTTTCGATGCCAAAATTTATTCGATAAATAAATAAATAAATATGTCGGGACATTAACACACATCACTATCTAGTTCCATGGTAAGCTACGTGGCTTGTGTTATGGACACCAGATAGTTGATACACTACACATACATATATAACTTTTAAATACAGACGTATATAAATATAAACACCCATGACTGCAGTACAAACATTTTTGCATATCACAAATTTGAATGCCCCAACGGGACTCGAACCCGGGACCGCTGGCGCAGCAAGTAGGGTAATTACAAACTGAGCCAAACGTGTCGTGATAACTGATAAGTTATTAGTTTATCACGTATGTAGGTGAAGTAAACCTACTAATAATTGTAATTAATATAGAATGTGTTTGAATCAGTCAATTAGCGCTCGAAGCTATAAATAGTTACTTCGTACCTTCTTGCGGTTGTAAACAACGACGTCTGAACAAGTTATATGTTGATTGGATTTTATATACGTGACTAGGTCTGGCACGTGGTTTCGCATGAGTGAGGATTTGTATAAGAATATGTTTATTATAGGAACGAGAAGTAGAAAATCATAAAAAAAAATTTTTGCTACGCCTAAGTAGTATTTGCTCTAGAAGTAGAGTTTTACGAGATTCACTCGATGTACCTACATTAAAATATAAAAGTGGTCTACACTCTACACCACTTTCTTCGACATCTTGCTCTATGCTGAGTGAAAGAAGGATAAAATAACTAGCAATGCTAATATTAAGCAAGTATTTTCAAAATATCTCAAAAATGTTCATGAGTTGTTACCTTAACGTTTACTTTGTAGTAATCAGAAAAATATTGCGATGTGTATTGCATAAACAGACAGACACGAGGACTTAAAGGGCTCAAGTTTAATTAAATTAGAATTCATATTAAAAACTGAACTTATCACATCATTTATTTCCTGCTATTTCCCTTTCAAGGCAGATATGTAGTGACTTTCAAGTTTCGTATTACATTTGCGGCGTAAATTAACGCATTGCATGTCCAATGACCGAAGGAATAGGCCCTCAAGCATCAGGGGCCCCAATGTGCGTAAGCAACAATTTGTAAAATCTCATCTCCATTTCCAGTTTAGTAAGAGTTTCGAAAATTTTTATATAGTAGAAGTTTTTAGAGGATTCTTAATGCATTATGTCTATTCACGATTTGGACTTCCGCCGTGAGGTCACTTTATAAATAACTAAAAATATACCCGTGCGGAAATCGAACCCGAAACTTACGAAGTATTTGCTATACCTACTTTAATGTGCTACTTTACTCATTACAATCAATTTGTTTAATAGGAATTTTATATGTAGAGCCGGAACTGCGTCTAATAAATCCTCATAGTAAATCTCGGGCTTATTGAAATGATCTTCAGAGGTCAAAGCGATTAGTCTCGCCCACATTCTACTGAATTTTTGTATAGGGTTGCAACTCAGTTTTGGAACATTATCTATATGTAAATTGTAATTTTAGTGTTTGTTTATTTGTGTACAGTAATTAGGATAGTGTAATTTATTTTTGTCATTTTACGTGGCATTTTTTGGTATAGTACATATCTATACGAGTAGGTTATTTTATTGGCCAGCGAGCCTTGAGCCATTTTATACTAATTTTACATATGTGAAGTGGCTTTTGTTCGTCTGGTACGTATACAAAGTCTCTCGAATAGTGCACTCGAAATATGTTTACGGTTGTCGATCTTCACGGTTTTCTAACTTATTTTTTGAAATTCTTTAGCAGATAAGGAACTCCGTTAATTTTAGTCGATTTGCCAGCAAATGCTTTAGTCCTGAGAAGAACTGGCGAAAGAAAGTCAGCGGAACTAATGATAATTATCAATTTTAAACTAAATCAATTTTAAAACTTTATATTCTACTAGCTGTGCCTCGCAGTTTCACCCGTTAAATTAGATTATACATATATGCATGTTTCATATAACCTACCCTCTACACTATGAGTACGTGACTAAAGTTTCTAAGCTTAAAGCACTTAAACATATTATAAACATTAGTTTTACAATTTACAATAATGTATGGGAGTCTGCCCGATTTGTTGACATTTATGATTTAACTGCTCCGCACCCTTGGGTAGTAGCTTGATGATATATAGCCTATAGCCTTCCTCAATAAATGGGCTATCTAATACAAAAGGAATTTTTAAATCGGATTAGTAGTTCCTGAGATTAGCGCATTCAAACAAACAAACTCAGCCTCTTTATAATATTAGTATAGATTATTTAATTTTTTTTATTTAACAAACTTTTCTGCTTTGAAATTTATAATTTGTAAGGTAAAAATAATAAGGATTAAAAGTCAAAAATCACTATGATGAATGATAGACGATCAACCACATTTTACTTCACCAAATGTCTAAATCCTTACATAAATAGCTTTTCCATAACAAAATTCGGGAGTCCCTAACACTGGCCTACTCGTCTCGTTCAATGACACGGCACGGTAATAGTGTCACAGGCTATATATAGCTCGAATGAATGCTCACATGCTTCGTCTCAGATTCAAGATGGATCATTTACAGTGGGATTGCAATTTTGCTCCACTAAACTTATTGAGATGTATGGTTAAATCGTTTGAAGTTCATTGGAAAAAACACTAAGTTGCTTATTCGGTTTTTCTATTGATTTATTTTTATATTAGCATTGCCCGCGGTCCGCCCGCGTTCAGATGACCAAAAACCAAATTCTTAGGTTTTACATATTAGTATACTCTTACATTGCAGTTTTTGTATTTTTTCTCAGAAATGAGATATTTTCCTGCAGTAAAAAGTATCCTATATGTTGACCCGGATAACCAGCTACCGTCATATAAAATTTCATCAAAATCCCTCCAGTAGTTTTTCCGTGATGCGGTAACAGATAGACAGACAGACAAATATTCTAAAAACTATAGATTCGGCCTCTGTATCGATAATAATGTCTATTGCAATAAGATTTTCCAAAAAATATTTAATGTACAGATTCGGCTTAGTACATACGGTTTGTATAATAAGTACCTAATAGGTACATTTGCATGTTAACAAATCAATCACAGACAAAGTTTACGTTAGTTACGTCTTATTTTTAATTAGATAAAGTTAAATACAAGGGCAAAGCCTATTTCTCCTCGGCATTTAATTTAAATCTTATTACTTATGTCTATTTAGTACGAGTGGGACTTCTAGTAATCTTGATTTTCTCATTACATATTGTAATAATGGTATTACCTAATGTTAACGGTTTAAACGTAGACTTGTGTTAATTACTGTTCGAGCGCAATGTTTGCTTTTTTATGTCTAGACGCTTAGCCGTAATACAAAATTGAATTTAAAATTTAACTTGGTGTCACGTCATTCCATAACCAACCGACAAAGCAATAGTTAAATTTCAATTGTATAATTTAATCTATACATATATTGTATGATAAAATTCTGAGTCGAATCTGTACATTAATATTTTTTTTTTAAATCTTATTGATATAGTCTTTATTATCGATACAGAGGCCGAATCTGTAGTTTTTAGAATTTTTGTCTGTCTGTCTGGGAACTCATCACGAGAAAACCACTGGACAGATTTTGATTGGATGTTCGTCCACATGAAACAATCTTAAACTATCCTCAGCGTATAAAGTCTGAAAATGACAGACAGACAACCTGTTTCAGTTATTTGTAATTTTATTATGGATTCTTGTATGGATTTCATTATATCATCATCAATATCATTATTAATACGCTTTAATATTCAATTTTAAATTTGTTTTTGAGTGTTTTATAAAGCTTGGATGGATACTTCTCCAAAGTAAAAAAAAAACAATTTAAAACACAAAAATAGGTTTTTTTTATTTAAGTCTGGTAGTTTTATCTAAGCCTAGTTAGTCTATATACCTAACAGCTATTGGCTGAATCGGCCCTCTAAAAATAGCTTGCAGTGAATGTTTACGAAATCATAAAATTGGCTGATGTCGTTAACTTCATCGAAATTCTCATAAAATACAATGAAAACACGAACTTTTGATTTCTAAACAACGAAATAAGCGAAGTTTGGTGCAGAGTAATATTGAAGTTTGTAAATATGTATTTTAAAATTAAAAAAAGGAAGTGAGTAAAAGTAGCCTCTGTGTTAATTCAGGGTGTAGTTTATCTGTGCACTAAACTTCATCCAAATCTTAAATAAAACTATCTTTTCGTATTATTTCTCCGATTTATTTTGATTTTTGGTTCCCGACGTTTCGAATGCTGTACAGTAATCATGGTCGCGGGAGATATTAAGGTTTTAGCTGTCTCAAAGCCATTATATACTTGTTACAGACTGTCAAAAGTATATAATGCCTTTTATGCTCATCCAAATCTGTCCAGCCGTTTGAACGTGATGGAGTAACGAACATACATACTTACATTGTGTATGTGTGTATGTCACTTTCGCATTTTTAATAGTATACCGAATAATACTTTCTTAGATTTACCTACACGAATATTTGATATTTTAAATAAAACTATCTTTGTGGATTTCTTCACGGATTTATTTAGATCTTTGGTTCCCCACGTTTCGAATGCTAGTCAGAATAATCAATATTTATGAATTGAAAACTCTTTGATTGCTTTAGTGTTAAATTAGAAATAAATTTATATTTCCAGGTGGAAATGGCGTGCGAGCTCCGAAAACCTCTCTTCGTCCACGAAAAAGAAGCCCAAGACGACCTAATAAAAATATTAGACGAATTCGGTAACCGTTTGCCCCCGGTCGTCATACACTCGTTCACTGGTTCGGTAGAGCAAGGCCTCAAATATATAGAAAAGGGCTTCTATTTGGGCATAACAGGGTATATTTGTAAAGATAAGTCGGATGGAGGGATAAGGAGATTGCTTTCGGAGAGGATATTGCCACTAGATAAGTTGTTGGTTGAAACCGACTCGCCTTTTATGTATCCAAATATGAGGGCTTCAAAGCTGCCGTTGCATGTAAAGGACTCTTTGACTGAAAGGTACGTGGTTTTTTGCTGTATCTATTAATTTTTGAAGTGAAACTTCTTTAGAATGGTTGTGATTTGAAAGTCGGTGAAACGGAAATGCGACCCTAAAAAAAAACAAACACACATAAATATATAGGATTAAGCCGGCGAGAGAATGAGATAGAATACATTGCCATGTTGCCATGGTAACCGTTGTTATTGTGTGACAAATATGTAAAATTATATTCTTTCCGTATATTATAATATTCTATATAGTATGATTATAATATGCCTTATTTAATTATTGATTTGTTCTAATTTAATTGCGATGTTTGCCAAAAAAGTTTCACTTCTACCATGAGTATTTAAATTGTTATTTTTTAATTTTCTATCTACTGCTACTACTCCTATGTAAACATTTCTTCGAAATTGGTTCACTTGATTTATCCAATTTTAAAATTTCTTATTGTATGATTAATTGAAATTTAAACCCATAAAATTACTTACTAAAGTCAGTGTAATGGAAATAAGTTATATCCTTAACGAATAACTATAATAATGATCTAAAACATAAGTCACGTATCTCCTACATTTGAATACAATGCCTGCGTGCAAGTACATTATCTACCTAGATATCGTCATATCGATGACAGTTTATTATCGAATAACCTACATCTCTTGATGTATAACACAATTGTGATTAAAACGTTCAAACAAATGCATTAAATAACAGTTTTTTTTTATAAATATATTGGAGCAGTTCCATGGTAAGTTATGAAGCTTGTGTTATGGATACCAGTTAGTACATATTATAAATATAACTTCGACGACACGTTTCGCTCAGCTTTTACTGACCCTACTTGCTGTGCCCGCGGTCGCGGGTTCGACTCCCACTGGCGAGATTCATTTATGTGATGAGCACGAATGTTTGTACTCCAGTTATGGGTGTTTATATTTACAATATGTCTGTATTTAAAGTTATATATGTGTAGTGTATCAACTATCTGGTGTCCATAACACAAGCGTCGTAGCTTACCATGGAAATAGATGGGGTTGTGTGCTAATGTCCCAACATATTTAATGGGGGGAATTAAATATTTAAAATTTTATTCATATTCATATTTCACTTTATGATATCAGGCTTATATTTATACATAAAAGTAATAATATAATGGCTATTCTCTCTTCTAATAATATAATGAATTTGAAAGTTGTTTTATCTATTATTATATGTTTTATGGAGAAAAATGGCTGTAACAGATGGACGGATTAATTAAAATTTTCCAATATATTAATACGTTTTCAAATTAGATGTTATTTAAGATACATAATATGTACATTTTACATTTTCAACGTTAGTATATTCTGTACTTGTATATGTTTTCCACTGAATAACTCTCGTCGACGTCTCAGCCGAAACTTGTCCACACATATACCTCCCTCAAAGATTTCCAGGGCAACCGGTCTTGTACTAAACTACTAGCGATTTTGATCAAGTCGCCGGTCCGCTTTGTAGGAGGCCTGCCCACACTTCGCCTGCCCGTACATGTCCGCCACTCGAGAACTCAAACTAAATAACACTAACGTCTAACACACAAAACTATCTAATTACGGAGTGGACAACTTTCATAAAAGTTCTCGATTTTGTTAAATTGATCAACAATTAACACTTTCTTAGAGAACATTTGACATTTTAAATAAAACTATCTTTTAGGATTATATCGCAGATTTATTTTGATTTTTGGTTCCCGGCGTTTCGAATGCTTTACAGCAATTACGGTCACGGGAGATACCATGTCTCTATATTTAAATTGATCAACATCTAGTTGAATTTATTTCTTTCCAAACTGTATGAGTGTATATATGAAGTAATTTTGTTAATTGATTAATATTGTATCAATTATCCATCCAGATCGATGAACTTCGTTAATCGTTACTGCACGTTCCAACGTAACGAGCCATGCGCCCTCCCCGCCATAGTAGAGCTGATTGCAGGCTTCCTCGGGGAGAAACCTGAGGACGTCGCATTAGCTACTGCTTTCAACGCTTTGAAGTTATTCGGACTCAGTCAGTAAGTATTTAGATGGGATGGGACTTGGTGTTTTAGGATTAGAAATATATTTTTGGTATAGAGTTTTTGTATCGAGAAACGTGACAATGTTTTGGTAGATTTCTTTTATTAGAGACAGAGAGAAAGAGATGTGGAAAGATATAGGAATTGTGCATATAATTCGATTTCAACTAAATCGATGATTATTATGTACGTTAAAAGTTTTGTCGTTGTTTCTTAGTTCTGATTTTAGATTTTCTATCATCAGACTATCAAAATATTGTACCGTTTTTTCAAGAAAAATTTACCGTTTAAGCATCGAGTCCCGGGATTTTGAATGAATCGAAATCGTATCTATGGCCTTATATATTGTGCCTTAAATTGTTATTTAAACGAAATGTTAAATATTATCGAATGTTACCTAATAAGAGATTTATGTAGACTTTGCATATTATTATATGATTAGTTTCTTCAGACGTCAGAAATGGCGAGCGACCATGTTTACGAAAAATGAAAAAAATATGACATTTTTGATGATAATTATTATTGTTCAATAATGAATGGGGCATAAGGCAATATTTATTGTGTTGATTTAAAAAACTGAGCAAATTTTGATAAAATTTTAATGTTGTGTTGCTACTGAACACGTTTGTAACATGATGTGAAAATGGTCTTACAGCAGAAGGCTGGTGAAGATGAATTTGAAAAGATTTTTAGAACTGTTATGTTCGACAAATAATATTTACTATTTGCAATAAGGGTAATTATAAAGTTACGAAAGTATATTTTAAAGCCAATTTGTCAATTTTAGCCATTATTTTAGCACCATGAGGCTATTTTGTAATAAAAAAATAATAAAAACATAAGAAAAAATATGCATTAACAAATCTTGCCATCGTTGATTAAGATTCGTGCCTCTCTTTTAGAGAAAAATAAGTTCCGATTATTAATTTATATAAAAAAAATGATTTTGCAAAATCACTTTTTTAATTCAAGCGTACCTGAACGCTTCGAATCTAATGCCATTTATTGATATGCATAATAATGTTTTTTTTTTTGTCTGTGGTTATGTTATTGTCTATGATTTTTGTACTCTATGTAGCTTTTTTTGTAGCGTTTTTGCACATGCCTTCAATATATTTAGCCTTTACTTGTACATATATTTGCTTAAATTATTTACAACTAAGCACTTATTTGTTAAATGTAAAAAAACAATATGGTGGCAATATATGGCAGCTTTAGTCATTATGATCTCAATATTTCTTACTGTATAGAGATATTTTTTATAAAGTGTCCACTCTGCAAGTAACTATGAAATTCGACAATTGCGTGTCTGTATGTCCGTTCGTTCGTATTTATTTAGGTCAAGTTTTATAGTTACGTCACTGTCAATTCAATGTCACTGTTTGTTTTCGTGTCTCGAACCCCCCCAGTAACCCATAAACATATTTTAGCCGGCCATTTTGGAAAATTTGGCATCTCTTTTAGTTTTATTGCCACTGTATTTAGCACGGTGTTAGGTGTTAGTTATTATCTCTGCGCAGAGTATTCCTATTCGAATTAAAATATCATCGAATGTAATGTAAATAGTTGTTAGTGTCGTTAAATGCTGGTAGTCACAACGGAATCAAAGACTGCAAGTATTAAAGTGGAATTTGACATGTTATATTTATTATATTATATTGTAGTTACATGTATACAGATGTTGTAAACCAAGATGGCGCTGGTTTTTGACAGGTAGCGCCATCTTGGTCGACTTACTTGAAAACACGCAAAGTTGATATTCTGTGCGTGATTGTAGATTATAATATTGTTAATAATACCTTTATTTTTTGACAATTTGTTTGTAAGTGTAAGGTTTTCCGCGGGGTTTTGTTGTTATTTGGGAATGTGCTAGAATTTATTTATTTATGTCTATAATATTTAGGAGGACGCGATTTTTGTGCATTCCTAAATGATTTTGCGGATCCCGCGGCATTGTAATGTAGTGCCTTCGACAAACGTCCTTTTGTGATACATATTTTTCTTAGATTGTACAGATTATTTCTTTCAATAAAATGGAAATATATTTATCGTTTTATTTATTGGCCTACCTAATTTCTCCCTCGATATTTCATACTTATTTTTAATTACCCGACTGCGCGACGCAAAGAAGAATAATGTCAGTGTATGTATGTATGTTTGTTTCTATGTAGCGTTCTAGAGACCAAACGCGGGGGCCGACAAAAGTTTTTCACTGGCAAATGTAAAGAGTAGTGAGTCTGACATCTTTACAGATAAATAAAATTGAAGTGTCTGTTTATAATGCCAAAATAACAGCTTTTTACTAAATGCATATGAAAGTTATATACGGTACTTATAAGAAAAATACAACTCTTAAAATTTTAGTCTGTTTGTTTCGGCTAATCTCCGAAACGGCGGGACTGATTTTGACGGGACTTTCCCTGGCAGATAGTTAATATTATAAGGAATAATTTAGCTTACTTTAGAAGAAGAATTAGGGTTCCGCTCAAAAAAAATATGCTTAATCGTCTTCATTTTTTTTATATTTCAGTATTCATATAACAATAGTAACAAATCATGACTAAATTCTAGAATCTTCCTAGCTTTTATCTAGTTTCCTGACGATGCCTGGCGGCGGTGACGTCAGAACTTTGCGAGACAGCCTTATTTGCCCAGAAACTGGGTCCCTACCAAAGTATTTAACTTGTATTTCCGAACCAACGTCCAGTCCCAACGCAGACGGATGCATGATCTGAAACAATATAAAATATAAGAGAAGTCTGGAAACTGGAGAGTTTATAAAAATTTGTAGTTTTTATTTAGCAAGTAATGAAAAAAATTCTTGTCACAGGGAAATTGTAATTTCACTAGTGAAGTTATAATTTAACGGATCTTAGAATTTCCCCATAACATCAATTAGCCTATAACCAGCGGACGATCGAGAAGCTTCAAACGATACCTTATAATTTTGTCAAATTATGATAAGTAATTTAGAAGTTCTGAGGGAACAGATATACGTACATACCGGTCAAAGTCATAACCCTCTTTTTCTTCATAGTCGGGTAAAAAAGACCGTGTATAATAGTTTTCAAATTACCTTTCTATGGTCCAGCTGTGTGTTGTGGACAAGCGCGGGCGACATTCCCGAGTATAGGGTCACCAACACACCTATATCTTTCACTTCTACCACCTGAAATAAACAATTTATTAAGAAAAAGATAATCATATAAGATAATATTATATATAATATTTTCTTAGATTTTCTTGCCAGCGGTCGCGGGTTCGAGTCCCGCTGGGAGCATTCATTTGTGTGATGAGCACGAATGTTTGTACTCCAGTCATGGGTGTTTAATATGTATGTATTTAAAGTTATATTTTATCTGGTATCCATAACACAGGCTTCGTAGCTTACCATGGAACTAGATGGCGCTGTGTGTTAATGTACCAACATATTTATTTATTTTACCTTAGCAGTATAAATAGCGCCAAATTCCAGTTCCGGCGTGCGGTCGGAGGCGAGCGCGGCGGCGACGCGCGCGCGCGCCTCCTCCATGGCGGGCTGCGAGGGCGCGAACACGCTGTATCTCGTCTCGTCTATTGGACTTATCTGTGGGAGACGTTTTTAATCTGTGGTGTGTAATCTTATTTGAGAAATGATTGATTTCTCATACAAACTTTCATCCCCCTTTTCTTCCCCATTAAATCATCTCGATTTCTGTGATAAAACCTTATCTATAGTATGCCCTTCCCAGGATCTCAAACTATCTTCATACCAAATTTCATTTAAATAGGTTCAACGGATTTTTAGTTTATCCATTACAAACAAACATACAAAAAACTTTTTTTTTCTATTTATAATATTAATATAGATTATAGATATAAATGGTTTTAGTGTTGAGGGTTTTGGGTTTCTGTTTAAAAACCAAACCTTAGCGCGAAGGAAAGATTGACCCCTTGCTGGCCAAATACAGCTTGGCAGATTTTATATGCCTTTAAAAACTACTAATTCTCTCAGACAAGCAGGTTTCCTTACGAGGTTTTTTTTGTCGCGTGGTAATTATGTTTAATGAGGTTACCAAATGAAAATCTCAATCTCATGTTTGTGTCCATTCAGTTTCTAAAGCTATTCATAGTTCTAGCACTGCTATGACTAAAATCAAACAAGTGTGATCAAGTTCATTTTGGGAAGGAAATTCACCACACAATAAATAAATATAAGAACATAAAATTAAATAAAATTATCTTTTTGAATTGATTTTGATTTTTGTTTTCCGACGTTTCGAATGCTTTACAACAATCATGGTCACGGGAGAGTACTCTCTGTCCACCAAAAATCTAAAGAAATTTGCGAAGAAAACTGAAAAGATAGTTTTATTTAAAACGTCAAATATTCGCGTAAATCTAAAAAAGTATTATATACGTATATATAAGGTGTTTTTCCCTGCTTTAACTTATTCTCTTTGACAGGACAAGTAATTCTCTCATCTATACTAGTATATATAGAGTTTAATATATAATATTATAGAGATTTGTTTGTTTGTATGCACTAATCTCAGGAACTACTAATCTGATTTGAAAAATTATTTTTGCATCAGATAGCCCGTATGTTGAGGAAGGCTATAGGCTATATATCACCATGCCAACGGAGCAGAGCAGTAATATAATGTATAGTCTATCTATTCTATACTAACCGTTAAAACGTACCTAAGGACGAACCCGAGCGGATCGAGGGTGAGGCGCTAGTATAAAGAAAAACATTCACCTGTACACCCGTTTCTAAATATAATCTTTTGAGATTCGAGCCGCCAACACCAAGTAACTTGGCTCGCTTGTGCACTTCCACTTCCATTTCTTCTATCACTGGCATATTTTCTTTACGTCCTTGTCTGGAAAAAATTTTTTTATCATATAAAACTTTTTATTAAATAAATTAGAAAAAGTCTAAACCCTTGTATAAAGTTCCTTTGAAATATAGAAAGTTCAGACTAAGAAATAATATAGACGGAGTATTATAGAACTAAACATGAAGCCAAACAATAATGTTGTAAAATAATAATAATAATAAATGTTAATGAATAAAAATAGCTAACAGGTTATTATATTATAATAAAAAAATATCAATAAGCTAATATTATGCCGTCGCTCTTTTAAGGGGAAGGGAACTAATGCTAAAAAATACAATGCAAATATAGTATTATATATTTACATATTTTCTTCTAAAAAAAAGGCTTATAGTTCCTTTGTTCTTTAAAGAAATTAAACGATCTGTATAGCAAAATCCAGAACAGTAGCATAAATAGCAAATCACGCTACAATTTTTTACTTTGACGTTATTTCTGCGGACTCAGTCCGCAAAATAATTGTAGATATTATCTAAAAATTTATTTTTTAACATTAATCTCTTTGAAAAATTAATATATTATGTATTATACATCAAAGATACCAAAATACAAGACCACAGAAAAAAAATGAAATAGTAAACCTACCTAGGTTTATCGATACATTGGTTCATAATATCGATTATCTTGCTCTTAGCATCGGTGGCCTTTTGTACCGATTCCATCACTATCTTTAGTGGAAGTCCCGGTAACTTTACATCCACTTGTAAGGCAGTTATGCCTTTCTTTGTGCCTGCTATTTTGAAGTCCATGTCGCCCATATAGTCTTCTATACCCTAGAAATTTAATATCATATATTTTAACAAAATATTTTGTAAACTGACATTAATCAATAAAATAACATCTTTGGTAGCGGAAGTATTATTCATTGTTATAAATGCGAAGATTTGTATGTATGTTTGTTAATCCTTCACAGTGATTCGGATAGGCGGTTTTTGATGAATTTGAGTACACAGATAGATTTAGAGTAACACAAAAGCTGCGCTCGAAAAAGTTAAAAAAAAACCGATCAATTTCGGTAATGTATCCGTTAATTCATGGCTCGTTCATTAACCGGTTAATAAAAACGAGCGGTTTATTAAACTGAAATAATAGAGGTTAACGGTTATTCGTACAGAAAAATTAAGCTTAAGCTTTTGATGCCAAAATAAACCGGTAAATTCCAGAAACTAAACCTTTGGCAAAGATTCTCCAAACATAAACGCACAAAAACTCATTTTAAACGATTAATCTTCGACTGGAACCTAAATTCGTTAAAACCGTTTTTCGGGTTTTAACCAGTCAAAGAACATAATCGAAACCCTTTCAGTGTGGGGTCAACCACAACTGGTTTAAAAATCAGGTTAAAGCCCTTCATTAAGCATTTAGGGACTTATTCGACCGGTCGTTTCTCATATGTATATTTTAAAGTCAATATATAAAATTAACAAAATAAATACTATGTAAACAGACTCACTAACAAATCTGTAAGTATTCTATAGTCGTCGATGTGCCCGCTGTCGTCGGTGCGGGACACGAGGCCCACGGCCACGCCGGCGGCCGGCGCCAGCAGCGGCACGCCCGCGTCGTACAGCGCCAGGGAGCCCCCGCACACTGATGCCATTGAACTAGACCCTGTGGATAGTGATAGATGGGATATTTTAAAGAGTTACAATGATGAGAAACAATTAGTGTATCCACACTATCAGTATGACTCACGCTCCAGCAACGTTTCTTATATAGAAAATATTTTACCAGACCGGTATCGGAGAACGGACTGTGATCGGCACTATAGTGTGGAGCGGCCCTAATACTCACAGGTCGTGCCGAAGTACCGTCCCGTCGAACATTGAGAGTGACAGCAATAGAGTGCATTTATGTCTACACACACACACACACACACACACACACACACACACACAAACACGCGCGCTCTACTATAATATCTCCTGCAGTTGGCTAGTCTCAATGAGATTGGCCACCGTGGCCGGAATCGGTCAGGAATCAGAAGCCATTATCTATATACTAATGTTATAAAGAAGTAAAGTTTGTGAGGTGATGACGTTGTAGGGAGTAATCTCTGGATCTACTGAACCGATTTAGATGAAATTTGGTATGAAGATAGCTTGAGATCTTGGAAAGGACATAAGATACTTTTTATCCCGGAAATCATCCGTTAAGGGGGTGAAAATGAGGATGAAATGGTTGTATGGGGAATCAATCTATATATTTGAAAGGAATCAAACCTACCATTGCTCTCCAGCACCTCAGCAGTGAGCCGGGTGGCGCACTGCAGCGCATCCTGCGCGGGGAGCACGGGTTCGAGTCCGCGCTCGGCAAGCGCGCCGTGGCCCGCCTCGCGCCGCGCCGCGCCGCGCCCCGTCTCGCCCGTCGCGTACGACGGGAACTCGTAGTGGAGGAAGAAGTTTTTTGATTTTATACCGCTGGGGTACAAAATGAGAGTGAGATTTTAAATGCAAAATTGGTTAAAATTAAAATTAACAATTATTGTAAGGTGCTTTGGTGCTATTCTTTGAATTCATTTTGTTATTTTGTGGGTAAGCAGTCTGTAACAACTATATAATGCCTTTGAAACATCTAAAACCTTAAGTCTCTCCCGTGACCATAAATGCTGTAAAGCATTCGAAACGTCGGGAACGAAAAATCCGCAAAAAGATAGTATTATTTAAAATTTGAACACATAGTTAGAAAACTAGAATTTTCGTTCAAAATGAGAGATTTTCATTGGCATTTCATATGTTTTTATAGAGAGCGCAGAACGAGTCGCTAGTACTATAGTATATAATAGAAATATAGCACGTTATATACCTAGTGATCATTGTAAGAGTGTCCATCTTGAGAACACTTTCAGGAGAATCAAATGCAACTGTACATAGGACTTGTGTCTGACCGCGTTGGAATACGGCACTGCCATGTAACGGCTCGTATAGACCAACCTGAAAAAAAACCCTCTTATTATTATTATTAAATGAGAAATATTTGTATATAATATGTACATAAATTTATTTTTGCATCCCGGAAACAGAACGATTTGGATTAAATCGTGTATTTAGATGAGGTTTTGACTTTTGAGTTTATATAGAGTTAGTATAGATTTGGTTTTAAGTTTTAAAATTAATAAATTATATATGTTAGTTTTTAAGGTATATATGTTATGGGCCTCTGATTACATATTTAAGATCTTTTTGTAAATATTGCCTGAAATAAATGATTAAATTAAAAAAATAAAATTTTGCTTTTTGATTTTACGTATGTTGTTAACCCACGATTTAAAAAAGATAATAACAAAGAAACAACGAAAACCATAGTTTTCAATATTGCCATTTCAAAAACTCGTTCTGTATTAGTATTTAAAAAAAAAGTGGTCACCCATCCATTTATCAACTAAAATAAAAAAAACTTACCTCACAACTAATCTTCCTCAAATCATCCAACCCTCTCCCATCGCATCTAACATCAGTTTCAAAGATCATGTCCCTAAATATTTGCCGCAGATTAGCATTGAAGCAATCTTGTACTATCGTGACATCCACTTCGGTGTCCCTCAGTTGGTTGAGAACTGTTTGTCTAAGTTCTGATATAGCTACGTCACGGGAAGTTTTGTCGTGGGTATAGTCACTGAAATGAAAATAATTATAAAAAATGTAAATAATTATATAAAAAATGGCAGTGGTAGCCCAGTGGTAACGAGCTCCCTTGGGAAACCGAGTAAAGCGATTTCAAATCCCGGGTCTCGCGCGTCTGATATTTTTATGTGCGAATCATTTCCAATATGGTTACTACTTGTATTACAGTGAAGGAATATATCATGAGGGACCATGCATGTTTGAGAGAACCAGCAAGTTTTTGAAAGACATGTGAAGTCAAGTCCATCAACCCGTACTTGGCCAGCGTGGTGGACTATGGCCTGATCCCTCTCGTGATGGGAGGAACCTGCCCAGCAGTGGGACGTTAAAAATGATTGAATACGATAAAATATATGTTATGTAATTTTTGTCTACCTGCTTCCACTTATGCATGCTAAGGTATGTTGATAAAATAAAGCATATTATATGTGCAAACCCACGCTATAATCATCTTCATTGAATTAAATTCCTTTAAATCCCATGAGTGAACGTCTCAATCATCATCAATATAGAATTTCCTTTATACAATCGTTCAAAATAAAGAACATAGAAAATTATGAACATATGGCAGTGTGTGCTTTCACGCGCTTAGCCTGCCATTGTCAACAGTTCAAATCGAAAAAAAACGGGTTTTGTCAACTGGTAGCGTGTATACGAGATTGTCAGTGAGTTGACACACTGAGTGCGTGATATGTGTATGGCATGGACGAATTAGAGACTGGACCTGACATAAAATACAAATGTATGAAAACTAGTTCAACCAAGTGACACATAACGCACACAAAGATTTTATTACATTATTATAAACACTGATACACAATACAATATTTCTAGTGCTTGAACGTAATCGATAAAATACATATATCGATGAACCAATGAATGACATTTTAGACATTGGTTAGCATAGTCATCATATTTTACATCTTTTAATTTAAAATATCTGTATTTATTATAATAAATTAAAATAAATGAATTAAAGAGGCAATAATAATAATAATGTGTCAAATAATAATTATTTTTTAATTTGATTTATATAAATACGATGGCATTGATGGCAACATTCTGTTGGCCTATAATAATGTTAATAAACAAGTGAATATCTGGTGTATATTCCATTGATATATATTAAATATTATTTTGTAAAGATTAAAAAAAAATTAAGCTAATTTAATTAAATAAAGTGATTTTGTTGATTCTGTTATTGAACTATTTTAATTGGCAATTGATTGTCTCGGGTAGTTATAAAAATGTGACACTGTCCTAATATTGCTCAGTTATTAATAAACATTTGTGAATTAGGAAAAAGAAAAAGTGATTGCAAATTGTGAAAAAGTGAGTGTTGGATCGTGAAAGTAAAATAATTAGTGCAAGTGGTAAAGTGTTTTATTACAAATCGCCAACTCAGAAGTTTAGTGCTAAAACATTATTGTTTGATTTTGTGTAATTTATGTGTTGAAATAAATTGATCTTTATTATTATTACAATGGAATAATATTCCAAAGTATATAAATGTGGTATAAAATAAAAAATTAAGTACACATACTAATTATAATTTTTGCATTTATATTTTTATTTGATTTAGAAAATATTTTTATAAATTTATTGTCATCAGATTGTAGGATACTGTGATAAAAGTATTTTATGTTATTGTACTGTACAAATAACACAATTCGTTCAGTTATTTCGTCAAATATCGATATATTTTTCGACATTGTCAAGCACTAGTAGATGTCAAATGGACTCACTCGACAGTTTTGTCATTTGTTCTGAATGGTATAATCCAGCCCGTTTATGATGGTTGTCAGATGTCAACAATACATAGAAATATCGACTATATTTAACATAGTTGGATAATATGACATTTTATTTTTAAATTTAATTAAAATTTCTGATAAATAAAAATAAATGTAATAAAATAATGTATTTACAAGTGAAAAGAAATAGTGTTGCTTCCGCCGTTATAGTTTTTACACCATTTAACAAAACATTTAGTCATTTTTGGGCGATGTTTTGTTGACAAGTAAGTGCTCGAGACTGACACAAAAAGCAAACGACCTAGGCTAAAATTCCCTGGTTACTGACATGACCGTTAAAGGTACGTCCGCTTACATGTCTGGTCCAGTGGTTAATTCGTTCATGGTGTATGGATTTAATATGTCTATACAAGTATGTACTTATATAAAAAAATAATGTATTTACTATTCAGTATGATAAATACCTTAAAATTTCCCTTATCTTCATAGAAGATAATGTTTTAATAGAATCTACAATGTTTCCATCTAATGGCTCCTGAATTTCATACTCTCGTTTAACTTTTCCATGTGTTTTTTGTAATTTTTCTATACTTTTCACTACATGTTGGGCTTCTTTTGTACCTGCATCCATAGAAAGATTAATATTATTTAGGAAAAAATTATGTATTGTCAGTACAATCTTCAATTACATGTTAATTCCCTAAAAAATTACTACTTACTAAAATATCCATAGGAATTTTGTTCCATAGGAATATTGTTAGTGATGTCGATATTATTATTATGTCAATGCAAAAGCGAAAATAGAATTTAGAATCAATAATTTATAATAAAACTCATACATTAAATTGACGATTCAAAAGCACTTGTAATAATTCTAATTGAATAAAGTTTATTTCATTACATGAGGATTTAATTACTGATAATTTTTTTTATATAACTATATAAAAAAAATTATCATTACTAAAATCCTCCAGTTGGAGGCCTTGAAAGTGACATGTAGGTATGCTTCTATTTACCCAAGGACAAACCTGAGTAAAGCAGTAGTATTTAAATAGTTACTTATTTAGAATTAGTCTAGTTAGAAAAAAAATAGAGTAATCATCTACAAAATGACTAAATCATCAACATAAAAAGTGAACTTAAAAAAATTATAACTGACATATCTACAGATAAACAAATAAATATAAATCAATATAACTTACCATACCTAGTTTGATGGCTTTTAGAAGATCCTGTTGCAGGATGATGTCCGCATGACCTTCCATCATCACAACAAGGTTACCAGTTGTAGCCGCTACTATTAGGTTAAGTGAGGATTTTTCCAAATCTCTACGGGTTGGGTTTACTATTAACTCATTGTCAATTTGTCCGAGCCTGAAATTGTTATAAAATATTATATACCAGGAGCCAGTGCAATTAAGTATACTTAAAAACACTATTTGGCTAGGTTTTTATTTTATTTATTTAATTATTGTTGTTATTGATAAATGGTTCTTTCCAAAGCCTATTAGTTATTACATTTAAAAAAAATTAAGTTCAATTAAATTTTAATCTAGTCTTCCATATATAAGATTTTTTTTTAAATAAAGCGAAGACGTAGCAGAACTATGTATTAGTCAGTTGAAATTACAAACAAATATATTGCATAAATAAGAATAATGTATCATTTATGAAATTAATAAGAAAGTTAAAATTTATGAGTAATTTATTTATCCTATACCTTACAGCCCCCACAGGTCCTTTCCAAGGAACATCAGATAAAGCTAAAGCCGCACTTGCAGCATTAATGGCCACTGTCTCAGGAGGGTTAATTCCATCCACTGCTAACATATTACAAACAATTTGTGTATCAAAGTTGTAGTTCTGGGGGAATAAAGGACGCAGTGACCTGTCTATGAGACGTGAGGTCAAAATCTCTCTTTCTGTTGGACCTGGAAAAGTTAAACATATAGTATTTTTTTTCATGGTAAACTAACAACAATTTAAAATAATATTTTGCTGACCAACTAATAAATTGCCAAAAATTAGTGGAATTAGAGTACAGATGTCAATCGACCAGTGAAGTTCAAATTATTTACGGTGTTGTTAAAGATGTAGACTTAGAGACGGAAGAAAAGGAAATATTGGACAATTTTTATTGTGATTCTCAAATTGTAAGCATGAGGAGGTTGCGGAGACTAAATGATAAAAATGAATGGGTTTTAAGTACAACAGTTCGGTTGGGCTTTAAGAGTTCTACCTTACCCCCGTATATTTTAGGATACGGGTGTCGGTTTAAGGTTGAGCCATACACATTTCCAGTGTCACAATGTTCTGGGTGTTGGAAGTTCGGACATTTGAGTAGATCTTGCCCAACGAAAAAAATCATATGCCCAAAATGTGGACAAGACCATGAAAACTGTGAGTCTAAAGATTTTATTTGTTTAAATTGCAAAGGACCCCACATGGCTCTGGATAAAAATTGTCCTATGTTTGTAAAAGAAAAGAAGATTAGGGAAATAATGTGTCAGAATAGTCTTACTTACAAAAAGGCTCTTGAATTTTACTGTCAGCATACAAGTAAGGAAGTGGGATTGACAGAAACACAAGAAATACAAAATGATTTGCATAACAGTGTCTTAGTTAATACAAATAAAATTTTAGAGACTAGATCATATAGAGATGTTTTAATTACAACAAAACAAATGCCAAGTATTGAGGAGCACGAAGATATGTCAAATGATGTAGAAGAAATGAATGATGATTATACTGAATGTTATTCAAAGAATCCATGTAGTTCACGAGATAATAAAAAAAAAGAGAATAGAAAAAAGAATTCAATTATAGTTCAAAATGTAAATACTGACGACACTAATTATCTACACACCGAGAAGTCAGCATCCTCTATAGAATTGAACAATAACCAGGATGTAGAGAAAGACAATTTAAATAAATTTAAAGATTTTTTCAGGAAGCTGAAAGAAATTATTCTATCGAAGAGAGACTTTAAAGAAAAGATATGTGATGCATTCTACTTAGTGATAGAAGAAATTTGTATCTCATTTCCATCGTTGAGAAAAGTAGGTGAAGTGATTAAGAGAATGTTATCCTTCTTTGATGGATAATATAAGGATAAAGGATTTCTCTGTAAATATTTTACAGTGGAATTCTCAAAGCTTAAGGCCGAAACTGACAGAGTTTAAAGCTCTACTTTATAGAGAAAATATACATATCGCCATAGTAAGTGAAACATGGTTACAGCAAGGCTCAAATTTAAATATTAGTCAATATAACGTTTATAGACATGATAGGGTTGACTCATATGGGGGTGTAGCAATTATTACACATAAGTCTCTTAAAACCTTTAAAAGTTCTATTAATGTTAATAATATTGGTATTGAATTAGTGCATGTTAAAATTATGAACTGTAAATTGTTGAAAAATATAGTTTCTGTCTATTGCCCCTCTAGTGTTAATACAAGTCAAGCCAATTGGGATAGCTTATTTTCTTTATTTTCCAAGTGTACTATAATCGCGGGAGATTTTAATGGACAACATACAAGTTGGTCTGATAAAATAGACTCTAGAGGAAATCAATTGTTCGACAGCTCACTACAGTATGGTTTTATATCTATTAACGATAAAAGCTATACCAGAGTTAAATTTGTTAACGGATCACTACAACAATCGGCACCAGATATTACTTTTTGCTCTACAGATATAGCTATGAATTTAGATTGGACAACTATTAATGAAAATTTAGGCAGCGATCATTTAATGTTAAAGTATACTCTCCGTTATAAAGATAAGTTATCGTTTACTAAAAAAAGGAACTATAAAAATGCTAATTGGATAGAATACAAAAATATATTAGAAAAAGAATTTAATGAATTTGATTTTGAAACAAATGATGATAAGTTCATTCAGCGAATAAATTTAGCTGCGGATAAAGCAATACCATATATTAAGTACTGTAATAATTTAGATCGAAAATTTGTTCCCAAACCTTTTTGGAATCAAACATTATCTAAAATAGTTGCTGAGAGGAGGTTAGCACTTAAAAATCTTAGAAGAAATCCAACCCCTCATAATCTAGATATATTAGAGCAAAAAGTAACTGAGGCCCGAATGTTAATAGTTAAAGTTGAGTCTGAGAGTTGGCATTCTTTTTGTAGTGATATCGATGAAAATACAACTGTAATGGATATGTGGCGTAAGATGCAATGGATGAAAGGCTTGAGAAGGGCTAAAATTTGTACATCAGATGAGAGAAAACAGAAATTATTAGAGTCATTGGCTCCCGACTTTGTATCGCCTAACATACCATTATTAAGATCAAAAAATGAAGCATTAGAATCTCCATTTACGTACTCCGAATTGGACAATACTTTAAAACAAAAAAATAGTTCTCCTGGAGATGACAATATCTCTTACTCGATGTTAGTTAATTTACCCAGTATTGCCAAGCGTTATTTATTAAAATTGTTCAATCTTATATTTAGCTCCAGTTATGTCCCAAAACAATGGAAGATAGTACAGATTGTAGCCATTCCTAAGCCTGGAGACAATAATGGTAAATTAAGACCTATTTCCCTTATATCATGCGTAACTAAAACATTTCACAACATGATTAATAAACGTTTGGAATGGCACTTTGAAAGAAACCATTTTTTTTCGCCAAGAACAACGGGCTTTAGAAAGGGACAATCGTGTCTGGATAACTTAACTCGCCTAATCACTCATATTCAATTAGGCTTCACAAATAATCTTCAAACTGTGGGTTGTTTCTTAGATATAGAAGGAGCTTATAACAATGTTCTTATTGAAAATATTGTAATTACCTTGGATAACTATGAAGGCGGATCTTTGATTTGCAAGTACTTGTGGCATTTTTTAAATGAAAGACATTTAAGAATAAGATGTGATAAGGATAACTCCTTTTATGAGAGATGGACAAGTAAAGGTCTGGCTCAAGGAGACCCACCCCTTTGTTATTACCCCTTTGTCCCCTTTGTTATTTAATGTTGTTACAATAGAAATATCTCGGTCCATTCAGAATGTTTTTTTAAGTCAATATGCTGATGATATTGTTTTATATTCTAGTCTTCCAAAGATTCAAGATACTATTTTAAATTTACAAAATGCTTTATATATTTTAATTAACTTATTGGATAAATTAGGCTTACAGCTATCGGATACTAAATCTAAAATATGTGTTTTTAGTAGAGGACATTGTAAACATAATATAAATATTACTATTAATGGATTGAACTTGGAGACTGTCGAATGTATTAGATATTTAGGCTTTTATTTGGATAGGTCTCTTAGGTGGGGAGCACACATAAATGAAATATGTTCAAAAACTAAAAGGTTTTTACAACTGCTTAAGGCACTAGCCGGTCCTGGATGGGGGATACATCCACAGCATTTGCGTACAGTGTACACATCTATGATAAGAAGTAGAATGGACTATGGCTCGTTTTTATATAACAATAGTGCTAATGTTCACTTATGCAAGCTAGATAAAATACAAAACCAAGCTATGCGTATTATTGGAGGATATATTAGGTCTACTCCTATTCATGTGATGGAGAGTGACCTCTGTTTGCCACCTCTTTATATAAGAAGGCTATATCTAGCTGTGAAATTTTGCTTAAAATGTCAGTCTTGGTCTGAAAATGAAACTTTAAAATGTATATCTGATTTGAGTTTATCTTTGGGTAAAAGGTATTGGAATAATAAAAAGAAGCCTTTATTAAGCGTTACATATCTGGAAACAAAAAATGAAAATGTCAGCTCATCTAGCACTTCAGAGATGTTTAATTTAGATACATGGATGTCAAATATTAATATTAAAAATGTATGCAACTCCAAATTAAAGTGTATAAAAAGATCTAAAAATAGTTACGATATTAATATATTAAGACAAGAAATTATACAGGAAATACATAATAATTATTTTGGCTGGTATTATCTGTATACTGATGGATCTAAAGATAAAACAAACGTTGGCTGTTCTTTGTACGATCCAAATTGTAACGTTAATAAAATGTTTAAAATAACTGCTAATACATCAATAATGACTGTGGAGCTTGTTGCAATTTTGGAGGCTTTACGTTATTCTAGAGATGTGTATAGAGATAACATTGTGATTTTTACAGACAGCGAAAGTGCTATACTGCATCTTATAAGTTGCGTAAGAGGAACAAGGGGAGTATCTGTAGCCTACAAAATTTTACATGAATTAACTAAAATACAATCTATCGGAAAGTCTTTAAAATTGCAATGGATTCCCTCTCACATTGGACTAACGGGAAACGAGGAGGCTGATATTCTTGCAAAACAAGCTCCTCTCGTAGGGAAAGTTATAAATTTAAGACCAAATTATTCTGATTTTTTAGTTAAATATAAACAAGAATGTGTAAACCGCTTTAAAGAGTACTTTGACGAAAGATCAAAACTTAAGGGAATATGGTATAAGACTATACAAAGTGAGCCTCCTCGTATCCCGTGGTTCTGCGACTCAGGGTTGACGCGTCAACAAATTGTTATGGCTCTTAGGCTGCGTTCGGGACACGTTCCACTTAACAGATTTATGTTTCTAATGAAAAAATCTAATTCTCCAAATTGTGATTTATGCGGTGTAGAGGAAGATGTGCATCATTTCTTAGTGGAATGTGTTCGTAACGCGGATAGGAGACAGGAGTTGATGCGCCGTTTTAACGTTTGCTGGAATGATGTGGGAGTTTTTCAAAGCGCACTGTCTAAACCTAACTCAGAGATAGCCAAAACTGTATATCAATTTAAGTTAAAATAAGTTATAATTAGAGGTACTAGTATTATTAGTGGTATACATGTCTTAAGGGAACGATGGGACTGACATTTAGGTTTGTTGCTAAGAAGTCCCTAAATAAAAATAGATTAAAAAAAAAAAAAAAAAAATAATATTTAAAAAATATATATTTTTAAAGATTTATCATATGGTTTTACAAATAGACTTTTTATATGTAATAAATAAGAATTGAATATAAATGAATACATTGATAAATTTCAGTACTAGTCTGTATAATCTGTGTAAATATTATAAATGTAAAAGTTTGTGAATATGGTATGGATGTGTGTTGCTCTTTCACACCAGGACGGATGAACAAATCTGGATGAAGTTTGGCACAGAAATAGATTATAGTCTGGAATAACACATAGGCTACTTTTTATCGCGGAAAATTGTTGTAGTATGTATAGTTCACTTGCCGCCGGGGCGCCGTAGTAGTTATGCGCAAGCGATCCTGTGGCGTCCCACTAAGGCGGGGGGAAGGGATGTCGGGCTTTAGTGGGTAGTACCGGCTCTTCTAGCCGGTGAGCCCCATATCACCACCTGGGGGATCAGGTGGTATGCGTAAATGCATTTCCCGACAATAAAAAAAAAAATGTATAGTTCACGCGGAATAGGTTTGTTATTATTTTCGTAGAGGCAAAGCTGAGCAAAGCGAGGGTTAGCCACTAGTAGATAATAAAAAAATCTGAAACCTAGCCTACCTAATTCTCTCCTGAGAAAATTTGTGGGTATTCTTCCAGCAGCTGCGGCCTTTTGCCTGTAATCTACAACTAATGGTAGAAATGAACTGGAGCTCTGTTTAGCTTTGGACACAACTGTTGACAGAACACTTGTGTTGCCAAAAGTGGCCACACATGCACCATCAGCAAACCTTGCATATTTGCCAGTTGATAGCTTTAAAGAAATTCTGAAATAAACATAATGAACTTTGAAATTTAATATTTCCTTATACTTTTGAAGTCTTTTCACAGGTGCATTTATCAAAATAATATATAAGTTAATAAGCTCATTCATTAGTTAAAGGTCGATCTATAATATTTTCTTTCAAGTAGGTATGTATACATAACCTAACATAACCTCGAATACGATGTTAAATAAGAACTTACCCGTTAGAAAAAGGCACATCAACTTCACCTACATTAGTCTGAGATGAGAAAAATCTGTAAGTGTGCCGATTTCGGGCTTTTACTTTCGATAAAATAGCACGATTTTTTGATAACATATCAAGCTTTACTTTAATGAACCAAATATAATAATGATTTTTGAATTATTGAACTGTCTTTAATAACGCTAAGTAGTATTAAATATCATACGACAGTCAAAAATATTATTTTTATTGAATATAATTTAATAACATAATATTAAAATAATGAATTTGTTAAAAACTACACTTGTAATAACAATTTATTTCTGTTATTTCACTGTCACTGTCAAATCACAAATGTCAATATTAAAAGGTCTTGCCAATTAGGAAAAAAAGGTCTTTCTTCCCCCTTTTATTCTTTGGGTTAAGCTGTGTTTTATATTATGTACATAATATACAAAAAGCAAATGGTATGTAATTAAGAATTTTCATCAATTATAATTAAAATATTTGATAACGTGTAGCCATAAAATTTTAGTAATAATTATGCATAACATTATATTTTGTAAAGGCAGTAAATTTTCAAGATCAGTGACAGAAAATCGGAAAATCATTTTTAATTATAATATTAAATAATGATTAAAAAAACATTCCATTCAAGAAATATCATAAGTTAATAGAACAAAATAAAATGATTAATGAATGCATCTGTAAGTTATCAGCTGTTCCATTCGAACAGCTGATTACCTCTATTCTCTGTCAACTTTTATTTGTCATCCAAGCTATCAACTGTCAAGTTCAAAAAGACAAACTATTTCAGTTTGAAATTTAAACTTCCAATTTCCAAATATTTATAAATAGTAATTAATAAATATACAGATGAGAAAAGTCCAAGGAAACGATTCTTTCCAGAGAATAAATTTCTTATACCAGGTATTTTATATTATAATATGATATTTCTCTGTGTAATGGAGTGATAAATTTTAAAATTTTGTTGTTTTTTAGATAAGTAAGCAGATCGCTGAAACAAATCCTGCACTATCAGCTTATTATGGAAATTTAATCGTCAATGTAGCTAAGAAAAATGTTTTAAAAATGTACGCAAAATTAACTTTATTTTTTATCGTATATATCACTATTTTTTGTTTTTTCTTAGTTTAGATAGATAACCTTTAAATTCTAAAGGGGTTAAGATTTTGTTTAAATTTAATATAATCTGTCAAATTAAGTTGAATTTCAAATTTGTAGAAAGATAATAACACAGTTTGGATTTTTACAGTCATCCCGATTTAAAGAGGCAAATATGCAAGAGGTGCCGCTGCATATTATTAGACAATATATCTGCAAAAGTTAAGATAAAGAATAAAAACAAATCTAAATATATACAATGGACTTGTAAAACTTGTGGAATGAAAAGAAATTTTCCAGCAGACAAAAATAAGGATCATAGAGTATGGTTAGAAAAACCTGAGGCAGTGGTAGAAGTCATTAACTGATTTTAATGCCCTATAAATGTATAACATTTAGAACCCTATTAAAATATGTTGTGTAAATTATCCTTTTTTTATTATTATATTCAGCCCTTCTTAATGTTACACTGCTGGGCATGGGCCTGCCTTCAATTCAAATTCAAAATATTTTATTCAGCATTAAATTATTACAATTTTTTACTGAACGTCATGAATCTACCACCAGTTCGGAAAGAAGAAGCCTCAGACCTGAGAAGAACTGGCGAAAGAAAAATACGAGAGGAATCGGGCCATAGTCCACCCCCTGCCAAGGGCAGGTTGCCAGATTTCACATGTCTTTCAAAAACACTTATATAATATTATGCCATTTTATTTTTCTTACATGTATTACCTAGTGTATAATTGTAAAATTGTGACCTTTATATACTAGAAGTAATTTTTAAATGCTTAGAAGGTATTTGTTCAAACCTTATTTTCTCTATTAAATTATGTAACTTTGTATATTCTTAACATAATTTTAACTAATCAAGAGAGAAATTGAACTTTTATTGATTGTTTCCTTTAAAGTTTCTAAGTTAACTATGTAATATGATATGATGGTACATTTTTGCAATGAAATTATATGGGTAATCTGAACTGAATATAATAGTTGAATGAATATAATGACTTAACAGTTTATGTATGTAATGGTGCTAGACCATTTATTTTGTTGGTGATCACATAATATTTCATTATGTTCACAGAGTAGATACAGATAAGTATTTTTTTTATAGAAGTCAATAATAGAGTTAATAGAAAAGTTAAATCCCAAGGCAATTCGCATTATCAAAGAGATCTACTACTAGATACTAGGGAACCGACATAGCACATCCAATGTTTACTGCAACTGCTGGCCGGCTTTTAGCGATTTTTTATAAACGCTTCCTCAATACAAGATCGATAGGCCTTGTTTATAATACTAGATATGAATCTATGCTTCAAGTTTGGCAACATTGTTAAACTGTGATGTAGAAAGCGATATAAAAATAATAATATTGTAAGGAATTCAAAATGTGATGTTTCTCTCTCGTATTAAATGTGCTGGTGGTATTCACTACAGCTTCCTAAGATCTGACCAGAGGATTACGGCAGACCTGAATTGTCAACAATTGCAAACCATGAAAGAAAAGCTAGCTGTTAAACAACCGAGATCGGTCAATTGCTCTAGCCCACTGCTGCTTCAGGACAACGCTAGATCACACACTGCATAACAGATGGTCGCTAAAATAGAGCGGCTGCGATTGGAATGTCTCCGAAACTTACCATACTCCCCGGACCTTGCTCCAAGAGGTTACAAATTCAAATCCGATGAGGCAGTCAAAACCGCCTTAAGAGATTTTACTGATTCTCGGTGCCACAATTTTTTCAGAAAAGGAATTAATGAACTACCTACCTATAAAATGGTTAAAGTGCATAGATAACAATGGTACAAACTTAGATTGAGTAAATATATAATTTCACTAGGTACTCACCCTCACTCCGCTCGGGTTCGTCCCTTATTAAAAAGTATCCTATATGTTGACCCGGATAACCAGCTATCATCATGCGAAACTTCATCAAAATCTGTCCAGTGGTTTTCTCGTAATGTGTTCAAAGACAGACAGACAGACAAAAATTCTAAAAACTATAGATTCGGCCTCTGTATCGATAATAATAGCTATTTCAATAAGATTTTCCAAAAAATATTTAATGTACAGAATTGACTCAGAATTTTATTATAATATGTATAGATAATTGTTTTTTTTTGTTTTGTTTTTGTCATATAAAACGCCAATTTCATATACATGTAAGGACCTTATGTATGTGTGTTTCGCAATCCCTTAAAGACTTAGTAAAGTGTACGGGATTACTTTAAGTATGGGTAATGGTAAGAGGATGGGATTGCGAAGATCGATAAGCTTAATTCTTAATACCTATTTCCGCTTCAAGTTCGGCTATATTGTCGCTACTAAACAATGGTTTGGTAAAGAATAAACACCATGATAGGTATCAAATGGATGGATCATGATAATGATATAATTTATTTTCCTTCTCAATATATAATAGTTTTAGTTATTTCAATACAAAATTTGATCGAAATTGTTAGAGCCGTTTCCGAGACACACGATATAAATTTATTTATACGAAACGTTTGGCTCGGTTTGTAGTGACTCTACTTGCACACTATTGGTCGCGGGTTCGAGTCCCGCTGGGGGAATTCATTTGTGTGATGAGCACGAATGTTTGTACTGCAGTCATGAGTGTTTATATTTATAATTTGTATGTATTTAAAATTATATATGTGTAGTGTATCAACTATCTGGTATCCATAACACAAGCTTCGTAGCTTACCATGGAAGTAGATGGTGCTGATATATTTATTTATTTATATACAATTATTGCTCATTTAATAAGGTAATGAACAATGTGAATATAAACTCGCATTAGATTTAAATCTCACATCTTCGCTCTGACTTAGGTGGAATAAAACCAGATCGTAATAGAATTATTTCATTTTAACGATACATTGTTCCATGCTCGTATGAGATTTCGATGCTGCAGTGAAAAATAAAGCTTTTTTATAGCCAAAGTAATCGCTTCCATTACTTCAGCGAGGTAATGTTTGCATAAAAATATCGTCAATATATGCGAGGTTTCTACATATTCTTATAATTATGTACTTACCTACTAAAACTAAGCAAAACTATCCCTCGGTTAGGGTGTTTATAAATATAAATGGACATTCTATGCGAGCAAAGTCATGGACGAAAGATAGCTTTAAATAAAAACAAAGTATATGTATAAAAAAATTTACATATATAGTTTTTTGTTAAAGCCTATAGTTAATTGGCAGTTTTAAATGTAAAAACCTTTTTGCTCACTATATTTGCGCGTCACCCACAGCGACTGATAGGGCCAGATACAAATAAAATTGTTTTGCATTATGCATGAGCCCACTATAAATCAAATTTAAAAGCGGCTAGGTTTTTTCCTGAATAAAATGAATTTTGTCAGTATTTATCAGTTCCTTTATTTAGTATGTACCTAATTTGCTTTGTACATTATATTAATAGCTTGTGGTCTGCTAGCAATGACGGGTTCCGTTCCCGCGTGGTGTAAAATGTAAATAGTGGCATAGATCGTGTAGATTAAAGTTACATACTAGCTGTTACAGTAAAAGTATTTCCGTAATTGTTATATAAAACGGATCGAGTAGAAGAAAGAATACAGATAGATGTTACAGAAAATGTTTGAATATACAAAGGTATGATGTATGTAGGTATACACATAGTTCCACAGGGACAGTAAAAACCCATTTTGAATTTGTTCGAATTAGTTCTCTGCAAAATAATAAATAAAATGTAGCGTATGTAAGAGCAAGAGAAAGACATATAAAAATGAGTGCTCGTTTGCTTGTCCTTTATGCATTCCTAAACCATTGATTTGATTATGATGAAACTCTAGTAGGTTATTCTGTATACGCCTGCAAAAATTTCTGGCCTTAAAAAAATGTTTTCTTTAAGCGTTTGCCTTTTATGCGTTCTTAAACAATTTAAGCTTAAGGAAGCACTAGAGCAAAGCGAGGGTAAGTCGTTAGTAATAAAAAAATCAATATTTCCTTTTACTAAAGGCCCTGAAAAATAAATTACATAGTTGTTCATTCGTTTCGAAATAATATATTCTAGATCATAAAATATTTTTATTACACACCAAATAGAAATTTTATTCCTATTTTAAGTCATGTGGACTTAAAATGTGGTTTATTTCACTTTTATTTGAAATATTTCTTACAGTCACGCTTATAACATCTGAATTTGTTAAAGATGACTTGTTATCATCAATTTTGCGTTCAAACAAAGAATTTGATGCTAATAATGAAGAAACTGTAGGTTACAATAATAATAGACAACATAAAGATGCAGAAGTGGCTAAACAAAAGGCTGAAGTATTAAAAAAGGTAAAAATATATGAAAAGCAACTAGACGCATTACAAGATTTAGATTCAGTGAATCAGAGGTACCAAAGAGATCCAGTATTAAATTTTATTGGTAGGAGATGGAATCGAGATAAGAGAAGCAAGAAAAAACCTGATACAAGTTACTCGTCTAGTTCTAGTATAGAATTAAAGAAGTGGAAAGATGAATGGAAGGATCTCTGGATGCAGAAGAAGTTGGAGGCTATTAACTCTTCAGTGCCAAAAGGAGATACCGTTAACATGGTTGCTGCAAGTAAGGCATTTATATAGCAATTTTTAGCAATGAAATTCGACCTTTTTGCTAGCTCGAAGTCTAGTATATTCCATAGTATTCAATGTTTAAGTAGATATATTTTTTATTAAGCTTTTAATTATTAAGCATTTAAATTATTTTAAGGACCGTGGGGAGTCCCTTGTGGGGATCCAAATCAACACGACGCACCCTGGGGAACATGTATGCTGCCTATGGAATGTGAGGCAGAGTACCGGATCTATCGTGGTGACTATTTTTGTGGTCGCACGAAGTTTATTTGTTGCGCGTTGCAAATTACTAACTATGATCTATACGCTGGTTTTGATGTATCCTTTGCTGATTCAAGTTTAGCCACAGATACTGAAGAAAAGAATAACAGAGTGAGAGGATCTAAAGAACGAAAGAGAAGAAAGAAAATACGTGATAAGAAACGTAGATTAAGAGAAAGAGTGAAACGTAAACGAAAAATCAAGAGGACGATTCAAAAAATTATACGGGAAATTAGAATTATATTAAATAGATCGTACAAAAATGGCACAACAAGCAGGAAGAGAAAGACGAAACAACTGAAAAAATTCATAAAGAGTTTGAAGAATAAATACATTACAGACAGAAAGGCGGTTAAAGACATCCATGAAATGGAGTTGATTAAAATTGATGCAGCTTTGATGAAACGTTTGAATGAAATTAGAGGAATGAATCAGCAGTATGTGAGAAATGCTACATTTAGAGCTATGATAGCAAACGGTACGATAAGCAAGCAAAACGCCAGGATGTTAATTAAAGCGTATCCAGAATTGGCGGACATGTTGCAAACAAGACGCAGAGGAAGGTCAAGAGGAGACAGGCGTAAAGACTATTTAGATTACGATATAGAGTATGGATATCTCTATTATTAATGTATTAATAAATTCAATAAAAACTATATTTGGTTATTTGTAAACGATTTATGGCTTCAATATTTATTTTATAACCGACGAAAAAAAGGTGGAGGTTCTCAATTTGACACATATATGTACTTACTGTACAATGATTCGTGTCAATTTTATTGATTTGAAACTTGAGTACAGTATAATGCTATTTTAGGGAGCAGTAACTTGTAATTTTGAACTTACTATTAAAATTTAATGACCAATTTAAAAAAGGAGATAAGAAAGGCAGCTGTAAATTTTGATGTTGTACCTACATTTGTACCGATCAGTCATTGTGTGTCGGTTACGAGATATACCCTTCAAATGTGAACCGATTTTCGTTATATATATTTTTAATTAAATGGACTATATGTCAAGGGTGGTGCGATATAAATTAAAAAAAAAATATTGAAGTGTGTGTGTATGCAATTCACTCACGGTGGAAGTGAATTTTTTTTGGCAAATATCGCAATTAAATTAAAACAAATCAATAATAAAATAAAGAATATAAGGCATATTACAATCATATATTTATAGAATATCATATACGGAAAGAATATAATATTATAGATTTGTCACACAATAGCAACGGTTACCGTGGTAACAATTAGTCATACCAGCTCTTAGTTAATTTATGTACATTCATCCCACAGTTATAGATATGTATTCATTTTTATTATAAGTAATAAGTTTATTTTTTTTTACCAAGTTTAAAAATTTATTTTACATTTTATTTAACGTATATTACATAATATTATTCAGTATTATTTTTGACTTCCGGTGTAATGTATTCTATCTCATTATCTCGCCGGATTAATCCTATATATTTATGTGTTTATTTCTTTCTCGTGCCACATTTCCATTTCATCGAGTTTCAAATCAACGATTATAAAGAAGTTTCACTTCAAAAACTTCCACGACTAAGGCACAACTAAGGGTATAATTAATTTTAAGCAGTAGCAGTTCAGAAGTTGGTGTAGCTTTTTAGTGAATAATAATAATTCTTTTAGAACTACCTACATATCTTAGTTAAATAATATTCAGATCGTTTCTGTTTCAAATAACTCACTAACAGACTCAAGGTACTCTAGGGGCAAGAAGTTTTGTAGTTTTTACCACTTAAGAACTTTCTCTACCTTTACTTGAAGCATCTTGCATGACTGACTGTAAGAGTTGTTTAACAAGTAAATGGAGAAATAAATAAGGTTTAAAGAACTTCGGCTTACTAAGTACACTGTAGTTTAAAAAAGTTTAATTTATTGTGTTCACAACAGCATTGTTTTCCGAATTAATCTATATATACGTTCATTTTCTTTTAAATATTGAAGTAGGCACATATATGCTTACTCTGCTCACCTATTTATTAACCAACAACCTATTTATAAATAATAGTAGCATTGCCCGCGGCTCCGCCTGCGTTCAGATGACCAAAAACCAAATTCTTAGGTTTTACATATTAGTATACTCTTACATTGCAATTTTTGTATTTTTTCTCAGAGATGAGATATTTCTCCCGCGGTAAAAAGTATCCTATATGTTGACCCGGATAACCAGCTATCACCATACCTTTCATCAAAATCCCTCCAGTGGTTTTTCCGTGATACGGTAACAGACAGACAGACAGACAAAAATTCTAAAAACTATAGATTCGGCCTCTGTATCGATAATAATGTCTACTTCAATAAGATTTTCCAAAAAATATTTAATGTACAGATTCGACTCAGTTACAATTTTATTATATGTACCTAGACTAGCGATACGCCTTTTCTTCATTAGACTGACATGTCGCTGCAATTTTTCTAACGTAAACTGTAATAGCCAACAGGGTGTTGGCGATTTTTAATGTCCTTTTAACCTAAAATTATGACAGAGCTAGAGTTTTTTTTTAATATAATACTTTCTTAGATTTACGCGGAAATTTGGCATTTTAAATAAAACCATCTTTTCGGATTTTTTCCGCGGATTTATATTGATTTTTGCTTCCCGACGTTTCGAAAGTATCCAAAAGATAGTTTTATTTAAAACTCTTTTTTAACATTTTTTTAACGTAACATTATGAGAGACTTAGAGCTAGACAAAAATTGTGTTTAAAATATAATCTATGTCCAATGGAAGTATTTTAGAAGTAGGTCATGTAGGCCAAGTAAAATTCGATGTCATGGTACAGTTTTTATTACTTTGTACATAGTCAGTGTAGTAATGCCTTAAACAAATTTTCGAATGTGCATAACGGATCTTATTAAATTATTCAATTCAATTCTTTTGTCTTATTGTATTATTTTTTATTTTATTTTTTTCTTTATGGCTTAGAACTGCGTTAACAGACGCAATCCATTCTGCCAGTGTCACGTTTTGTGAGGTTTTTTTGAAATTTAGCAGCTATAATGTGAAATTAAAAGTATAGATGAAAAAAGACATATATTAAGATATCAAATATGTTGTCAGAATCTTTATACAGATTCTTAAAAAATCATAGCTGTCTGTCTGTTTAATTGTAAAACAGAACACTACGTTCTTCCCGCCCTTTTTCCATTCATGGTGACAACTTAAGAAAACTCAAATAAGTATTTTATATCAGAATGACAACTTAGAGAATTAAATAATTATTTAATCATTGCTAATATAAATCCTATTTTTATATAATTAATAATTTTACGTTACATTTTGAATTGTTTTAGATTCTTTTTTATTTAAAGATTTTTATACACAATTTTAAATAGATATTTCCAAAATAGATATACAAGGATTACTATTATACTGCTTACCAATCGCTTAGTAATAAGCTGACTAAAACACAACATTTGTATCTAAATATGTTGCTATATCAATATTTATATGCAACTAGCAGTAGCCGCGGCTTCGCGCTGGTCTAATCTGAAAATTGCCTGAAAATTTCATCAAAATCGCTTCAGCCATTTTGGAGTCCATAGGAAACATACACACATCGATTTTTATATATACCTATATATTATGTATAGTAATCTAAACGTCAGTATCTATCTTCCCTGGCACTGCATCTGGCTGGGTGCCCAACCGCTCGTACGGCAAAAGTTTCACGTTTAATCATGTAAGATACAGATTTTTGGCAAACCCACGCCTGTGGGTTTCAATTTGTTGACCTGAGCTTTATGTAACGGAGAGTTCAACAAACTTTATATGCTTTCATTTCAAATGTCATATTGATATATTAAATATTTTTGAATTTAAATTTTAATGGATAGAAATTTCTGTGCATTTTTTAACGGTTAGTATAGATTTCTCAGAGATAAGATATTTTCCCGTACTTAAAAGTATCCTATATGTTCAACTGGATAACCAGCTATCATTATATCAAATTTTATCAAAATTTGTCCAGTGGTTTTCTCGTGATGAGTTCCTAGATAGATAGACAGACAAAATTTTTAAAAACAATAAAAAAAATAAGACTTTCCAAAAAACATTTTAAGTACAGATTCGGCTCAGCAAGAATTTTATTATATGTATAGATTAAATTAACGTGTAGGACACTTCAAAAAAATATGTAATGAGCATAAACTTGAAGGTCTTTATAGTAGTCACTGAAGAGATCAATCTGCAAGTTGGCATCATACACAAAAAAGCCAGCATCCCACATAAAGCAGACGAAACCATGTCACGTTGCTTGTCCATACTTTTAATATTATAAATGTGAAAGTGTGTTTGTTTGTTTTTTTGTTTGTTTGTTTGTTTGTTTGTTTGTTTGTTTGTCATTCTTTCACGTCAAAACGGAGCGACAGATTGGCGTGATATTTTGTGTGGAGGTAGTTGGAGGGCCGGAGAGTGACATTCCCACGGAAAAACACATTATAATACAACCCATAATAATATTTATCATCAGAATTACTTGAAACTTGGTAGTAATGTTCTTCAATGAAATTAAATAAATACCTGTTTTAGCATTTTTCGAAATTCATCTTATAGGGGATGAAGGTTTGTATGAAAATTAACTTTTTAGAGATTTTTTGTATTTTTAGCGCGAGCGAAGCCGCGGGTTCTGCTAGTATATTATAAATGTAAGTGAGTATATTGTATACATCACAGATGTCGATATTCGAATTAAAGTTCGATACTGTAGAACGCGTTTGGAAAGTTGCCAAGCGCATAGTTAACTAAGCTCTATTTCAAGACTTCAATAAAATAAAGTTTTAGTACACATTTATCATAGTATATACTGACTAAAAATATTTAAATTGTATGTATGTATATATTTCTCATTAGTAACCCGCCCCCACTTTACTAATGTGCCATAAAACTTTTGAAACTTAAAAATGTTTTTTTCTCTTTAATGGAAAATTTGTTTTATTTTCCTCAATAAACAATAGCTGTCATTTGGTCAATTTGTTACTCATTCACGCCAAAACGGCTGAACGAATCTGGGTGAAATTTGGCGCAGAGATAAATTATAGTCTGGAATAGCACATAGGTTACAGTTCATCTCCGAAAAATTTAGGGTTCCCGTTGGATAGATTTGTTTTTGTTTTTCACAGAGCATAGATATAATATATGATATTAGATATATAGCCTATAGCCTTCCTCAATAAACAGGTTATCTAATGCAATTTTTTTTTTCAAATCGGGTTAGTAGTAGATAATATTTGGCCTGTCTTTAATCATATGAGTATGTTGAATAGAGCCAAAAATGAAAATAATTTTTGGCCAGATTAATCACATGAAGAACGCAATCTCGGAGAAAAACTATTTTATACTACTTACTATAAAGCTAGTGTCTTATTGAAGAATATTTGCATAGGCATTCTAATTATGTAAGGGAGCCTCCTACTTTTAACTAAGTCATCAAATTACGCAATAATTACAGCAAGAATGACCACACCGTCATAAATAATGAAGTTTTAATAATCATTATTAACATTTATCACTTGGTCCATAACATATCGATTATACACTTACCTTATACTAGTAGGTTTTTTGTTTTTCAATTTGTCAAGTGGCCGAAATTCACCTATAAT